CCCAGGGAGAGCAGGTCAGCACAGCAGGGCAGGGAGGGAGGCTGGTCCAAGAGCCGTCCTCGGGGGAATGAGGGGCTCCTGCCTCACAAAGAGTGCAGGTGCCTGCTTTGCGGACCGGAGGAGGAAGCAGCTCGTCCCATTTGGCTTGGCTAAATGACTTAAACATTCTCTGGCTGCCGAGTGCCACCTTGGCAGCACAGGCCACGATGGATGAAAGAATGCTCTGATTTGTGCTCTTATCTCTACATTGTAGAGATGAATGAAGGGGAAGGAGGGTTTCTAAGCCCAGCTGCCTCTACTGGTGGTCAGGACACAGCCAGACATTTCCAATGGAGCGTTGGTGTGGGCTCTTAGCTGAGGCGTGCAAGAAAGCACCTCTCTCTTCACTTGGTGACCGTCCGCCTCACCCGACGCGTTTATAGGTTTATACCGATTTTTCTAAGCTCTCCCTTACTCATCCCTCCCATTCTGGAGTCCTGTGCGTGTATGTGTGCATGTGGGCATGTGTGTGTGTGCTCGTGAATATATGTGCTTCTCCTTCCCTCCGTCACAGGCAGGGGAAGACTGAGCCCTTAGCTCTGAGGAGGCACGAGAAGGTCCAGCAGGAGGACCCCCCATCTCAGATGCTCAAAGTTCCTATGACCTTGGGTTCTCTCTGGAATTGCTGCAGGGTTAGAGGAGACTTTTTAGAGTATAAAATATGCTGACAGATCTCTGGGGTAAATTTTCTTCACTGTTAGGACTAACCCCGATTTAAATCGGAACTGAGTTGCAAAGAAACTCCTCCATGTTTTATTGCCATTTGGGGTTTCATTAGAAGCTGCTTCACTGCAGGAAGAATCGTCTGGAGTGGCTGCTACTCGGCTACACTCACTTACACCTGACCCCAGTGTGGCCTAGGGGTCCCAGGAGCCGGCACAGTTAGTTGGGGTTTAGAGAGTCCCCGAGAGACCTCTGTCTTCGGCTGCCCTGGTGAGGCGGCATGTAGCTTGAGCTGGCCTGATTCTCTGTGTTCACTCTGATGGGAACGGGAGTCTATGAAAAGTCGGTGCCATCAGACCTTCCATGGGAGTCCTGCGGAGCTCGGGGCCAGATCTGAAATGAAATGGACCCAGGGCTCACCACGCAGCGAGGAGTACAGCCTGAGGTCCTGGCTTTTTTCCACCCCCAGGATGGTCCCCCCCACCTCTGCTGAGCTTTCTCTAGTGCAAGTCCTAGGGAGTTCTGGGTTCTTTCTTTCACCTCTGCAGGCTTCCCCAGAGTTTCTTTCTCTCGAGATGAGCAGTTAGTGGGGAAAGTCCTCGAGACCCTTTCCCTGGTTCTATGACGGGGGCTGCTGGAGGCGCTGGGTCCCACGCCCCTCTGTACCAACCCATCATTCTCAGGGCTCATCTGCTATTTTTCAAAAGTTTTTGGCAGAAAGTGTTTACTTTTCTACCTTTCCTCATTCTGTGGCTGCTTTTTTTTTTTTTTTTTTTTAACAATTCTGGCTCACTTTGTGAGGAGCTGGGGCAGAGAGATTCTGTGAGTCTGCTTCATTCAGTACCTTTACCACTCAGACTGATTTTATATGTTGAATTCAACCCAGAGTCTGAGCTGGAGGCGGTGGGAGGCAGCTGCGCCCATGCGGAGGGTCCCTGGTTCATCGAAGACACCTGCACACATATGGAGAGGTGCTCCTGGCGGCGCGGGGCAGCTGAGGGGAACATAGATGCTGGAATGAGCAAGCATTGGGGACAGAAAGGAGGTGGCGAGCAGGGAACATCTAGGGCAGAGAACAGAACTTGGCTGGGGGCCCTAGATGGTCAGGGCACCTGCAGGCCCAACCTGGACTAACAGAAAGCAGGAAGAATAGGGGGCTGGTGTCCTATACGCCGTGGGTGGCTGGCGCTGGCCTCAGGGAGGCCGGGGCAGGCCAGCTACCCAGGAGACCTCCTCACCACCCACCCTCCTCTGCATCCTGGCAGGGAGCGGGGCCAGAGGGAAGCAGTGTATAGTTACTGGCAGCTCTGGGATCTTTTCATTAAAAAAAAAAAAAAAAAACCTTATTAAAATATAATTCATGTGCCACACAATTCACCCATTTAAGGGGTGCAATTTATGGCTTTTAGTATATTCGTAGATATGAGCAACCATCACCACAGTCCCAGAGGGGCCCATGAAATGGTGGGTAACTCTACCACAGTTCACGACCTGGTTTCCTTCTAGGAACCTACTTCCAAGCCTGAGGAAGTGTCTATAGTCACTGAGCAAACCACAGAGGTCAAAGATCTGTCAAGTTATTTCCTGGATCAGAACTTGCCTTATTTTTTTTCCTCCTTACATTAGTCTTTGGTGCCTGAACTTTGAGTTTTGGAGCAAGTCACGGGGCTTGAGAGAGCAGGCAGCCCATCCTGGCGCTGGTTTGGCGGGGTTTTGCCATCCGGCCCCGTCCTGCCCCACAGCCTACAGAGAAAGGAACGGGCGGCGGCAGCACCACCACTGGCCACAGAGGGGACACCAGATCCCTACCCACCGCGAGGAGCTGCTGGGAAAACGAGCGTGAGCGTCTCTCGGTGAGCACTCGCTGTAGCCCAGGCTTCCTCATACGGATTGTGGGGGGCCATTTGTGGAAACGAGATCCTCCAACCACCGTTTCCCATTTTTCTGAGTTTACACGGGGTTGGTTTGTTCTGGCTTTCCAGCGTTTTTAGTGGACAGACCTCTTCAAGAGGCATTTGACTCCGGCTGGTCCAGCTCATTATTCCAAAGGAAAAGAACCAAATCACAGGAATTCAGGGGTCTGAGAGGAACGCTCCCATGGGTGCCCGAGGACACCACCACAGCACTGAACAGGATGGAGGAAGAGTAGAAACGGCCTAACGCTGGCCCACAGGGGCATGGAGAAGTCAACTGGGGTTTGTTCGTATCATTGAATCCAGCACCAGTTAAAAAAGGAAGTAGTATATGTAAGCTGCTTGTATCCATCTGCCAAACCATGCACCATGCCCAGCTTGATACCGTTTACAGAAAGTTAGAGTCAACAGGGAAGATACTATTTATGCTCAGTTGCTCTTCCCACAAAGAATCGTTTAACAGCGGGTGTATATTTGTAGACACAAACCACAGGTAAGACGTGTCTGGGCACAGGGAGAATGCCAGGTCGCAGCCAGCAGGACTGAGCCGACTCTAATGATACCTCTCCTTAATGAGGAATCTTCTGTTGAGTCTGCATGATGGGTGCACAGATATGTTGTCTATTTGTGGGACTTTTTTTAAGATTTTATTTATTTACGAGAGAGCACAAGTAGGGGGAACAGTAGAGGGAGAGGGAGAAGCAAGCTCCCCCACAAGCAGGGAGCCCAATGCAGGGCTCGATCCCAGGACCCTGGGATCGTGACCCGAGCCGAAGGCAGGCGCTCAACCATCTGAGCCACCCAGGCGCCCCTGTGGGACTTTTTAAATAGACTTGAACTAGGGGCGTGTGGGTGGCTCGGTCGGTTAAGCGTCCCGCTCTTGATTTCGGCTCAGGTCAGGATCTTAGGATCGTGAGATTGAGCCCGGAGTCAGGCTCCGCACTGCGCGCTCTCTCTCTCTCTCTCTAAAAAACAACGACCAAAATATGCTTGAACCAGTCCAGGATTTAAAAACGTTTTAAAAATGACCTAGTGCCAGGGCCAGGAGGGAAGAGAGAGACTTAGGGCGGGGACACAGCTATGGAGGTGGCTCATTGCAAAGCTGGGGGCGCCCAGGGCGTGCTCTGTGGGTGGGAGGGTGGGGGGTGCCCTCCAAGGTGCTCCCAAAAGAAGGTCTTGGATTTTAGGTTAGTCAGCGTCGACACCCCCTGCCCCTGAGCTGCTGTTCAGGTACTTTGAGGGTGAGCTGCTCCATGATCTGCACCTAGACAGACCGAGCGCTTGTGACCCCAGCCAGAGAGTCTGCCCAGGCCCGCTGCAGTGGGGCCCCTTCGGAGACCTGCCCGTCTTCAATCCGCACCCCCTGCCGGCCAAAAGGTGGTGGCCTTTATTACTTACTTGGAGTCCTTTGTTTTCGTTTGGAATGGCTTTCTAGTACACTTTTGCAAAGTGTCATTCCCTAGCACATGTCCTGAGTGTCTCAGGACAAGTGTCCTGGGGCCACGCCAAATAAAAGCAGTGTGCTTTCTGTGTAAACACCCCTCCCCCCAGCCCTGCTTCCCACCTGTTCCCCCCACCCCCTCACCATGGCCTGTGGGCGCCTCCTCTGGTTGCTGGGGGCGCTGGATGGGCCGTCCAAACCCTCCCATTTATTCCAGGCAGTGGCCCTCCACCTTCTGCCGTTCTCATCCCTAAGGAGCCCTGTTAGACATTTCCTCCCTCACTGTGCTCCCGCAAGACAGTAATATCACAGGTGTACTGAATGTCTGTTTATGCACAGCTGTGCTTTGTACATATAAGGGTAAGAACTTTCGCTCAAGAACCAATTTTCGACCCCTTGGGGGCTACGTCACCCCAGTTGAGAATGCATGTTCTGGACTCTGGATCAAGCTTGTAAATCAGCTCGGGGCCAAGGGCAGTTTCCTGTGCTTTTTTTTTTTTTTTTTAAAGATTTTATTTATTTATTTGAGAGAGAGAGAGAGAATGAGAGAGAGAACACGAGAGGGGGGAGGGTCAGAGGGAGAAGCAGACTCCCCGCCGAGCAGGGAGCCCGACGCGGGGCCCGATCCCGGGACCCCAGGATCATGACCTGAGCCGAAGGCAGTCGCCCAACCAACTGAGCCACCCAGGCGCCCCTTTCCTGTGCTTTAAAGGCAAATTCAGTGTCCTCACTCTTCTCCAGAGAGAGGAACTGATTTGAAATCAACAGTAAGGATGGATAATCAGCGCCCCCACCCAGGTCATGGGACACCATCCTGTCCAGATGGTCGTTTCCCTCCGCGCCCGTGACCTGGGCCAAGGGGGTTGGGCTGGAAAGGCCTCCGCGGGCCTGGAACCAGCCGTCCACGGCCACCCTCTCCTTCCAGCGCTCCGGGGCGCCCGGCCATGGCGGCGCTGCGCCGCACAGAGTCCACACTGACAGTGCTGGACGAGGACTCGCTGTGGGAGCTGCTGGAGAACCACCGCCACAGGATCGTGCGCAGCATCTGCCCCAGCCGCCTCACCCCCTACCTGCGCCAGGCCAAGGTGCTGGACCAGCTGGACGAGGAGGAGGTGCTGCACAGCCCCAGGTTCACCAACACCGTCATGAGAGTCGGTGAGGACCCCTGGCCCCACGCCGCCGGCTCCAGCAGGCCCCCTCCTTGCCACGCCAGCTCCACACAGGCCATGCCGCGAAGCCCGGGGCCAGGCAGGGAGCACAGGACTTTAAGGACCTGGGGGCGTGGGGACACTCTAGTGCCTTCCCGGGGCTGCCCTAACAGATGCCCACAAACCGGGTGGCTTAGACCGGCAGAGGCGTATTTGCCCGTAGTTTGGGATCCAGGTGTGGGCAGGGCTGCACTCCCCGGAAGGCTGTAAGGGGCACATCCTTCCCCGTGTCTTCCTGGTGGCCCCGGGCGGCCCTCGGCTTGTGGCCACACCGCTCCAGTGTCCGCCTCTGTCCTCGAGTGGTCTTCTCTGTCTGCTCTTCTGTCTCTTACGAGTGCACTTGTCATTGGATTCAGTGGGTTCAGGGCCCCCCTGGATAATCCAGGATGATCTCATCTTGAGATCCTTACCGTAATTCCATCCACAAAGACCCTTGTTCCGGATAAGCTGCCATTGACAGGTTCCAGGTGGAGGTACCTTGGGGGGCCACAATTCAACCCACTCCAGATGTCTTTGGAGCCGACTCTGACAGTTTGACTAGCTATGTTTAGTCACTGAAAACCAGGGAAGCTAATAGCTTCATGCTGTCAGATTGTTAGGAGATCGGATGAGACAGTTTGTAAGATACTCATCTCCAAGCCGGGGCCAGAGGAAGCAGGCAGTAAGTGGTCGCTATTAACATGATTCTATTTCCGCCTGTTCCTTATGAAACTCAGGTATAGGAGAAAGGAATCCAAGCCACTAAGTCAGGCTGAGAGCCATGGGCTCGGGGTGGCGGGCTCCCTGGGACTCAGGCCCTGGGGCATTGCCCTTTGCTTCTTTCATCCCATAAGCTTTGTATACAGTGTCTGTCCATGTCCACCAACACACCTGGGAGGTCTTGAGAGCAAAGGTCATCTTCCTTAGTCTTGTATGGCCAGCTCTTAGCATGTGGGTTATAGTAGTCGCTCAAGGAAGATCAGCCCGGCCCTTCTGGAGACCAGCGGCATTAAAGGACCCACCAGGGCAGTGAGGGCACCTGCCCCCGGGGATTCTGGAAAACTGCTTTCACCTCCTGATTCCTAGATGTGCGAGGATTTCCTCCACCTCCCCACCGTGCATCCCAGGGCAAGCCCACCCAGAGCCTTGTGAGCTGACACGGTTTTCTCCCCCAAGGGCACTTGCTGGATCTGCTGAAGACGCGAGGGAAGAACGGAGCCATTGCCTTCCTGGAGAGCCTGAAGTTCCACAACCCTGACATCTACACCCAGGTCACGGGGCTGCAGCCCAAGGTGGACTTCGACAACTTCAGTGGTGAGGGCTGGGTCTTGGGGCCGGTGATTTCTTCGGAGCCTCTGGGTCCTAGTGCCTGCATGCTCTTCCAGATGCTTCTCCTGAACCCCCCCCCAGCACTCTGGGGGTGAGGAGACCCCCACTAATCATGCGCAGGTGATAGAAGAAGGAACCCGTGGCCTCTGGTTCTAAAAGAAAAGATCCTGGGGCACCTGGGTGGCTCAGTGGGTTAAGCGTCTGCCTTTAGCTCAGGTCCTGATCTCAGGGTCCTCGGATCGAGTCCTGCATCAGGCTCCCTGCTCAGGGGGGAGTCTGCTTCTCCCTCTCCTGCCTGCTCTCTCTCTCAAATAAAATAAATGAAATCTTAAAAAAAAAGAAAGAAAAGAAAAGATCTGTCCCTAACTATGCAGTACTAACGGGAGACTCCTCTTGGGGCACAGAATCTACATTTGAGAGGTGTAGGGAGAGGGCATGTATGTCCTTTCCCTAGAAACGCTCCTGAGGTGGCCCTAGCCTTGGCTTACATGGAAGGGGCAACTGGGTCCTGGGGTGGCTTCTGCTGGGAGAGGCCCCTCCCGGAAGGGAGGAGGAGAGGAGCGGGCAGCCTTCTGCACCTTTGCTCAGCCAGAGAAGGAAAGATCTAGCCGACCTGATGGGAAATAAGGCCATTTTCATTAATTGAGTGATTTTACGCTTCCCTGGAGGAGCTGTGGAAAGATTTTGGGATACAAAGGGCAGGACCAACATCACTCAAAACTGGATGAGAAAACTTTTCCACCTGCTTGGCATCATAGTCCATGGTTATGTTAGCTAGAGTGCTCCTATATGGATTCATGTTCCTTGTTATGTTTCTCTTAGGATGACGTGGAGATGAGCTGGTATTGAACACACCTCAGCTAATGAGGGGGAGCTGGGTCTGCACAGCAGGGTCCCACGGGGAAGCTGCGGGGGGTAATCCTGGTTCCAAAATCACCAGTCATGCTATTTATATAACCAAATATTGAGTCCGGTTGAGCCCGGAAGTTTTTAAGGAGACCCACAGATTAGGGTGGGGGTTCCTGCTTGAGAGTCTGAGCAGAGGAAGCAAAGCCCCTGGGGGACAAGGAGGGAGGGCGAGGTGGCCCACCCGCCCCTCCTCTGCAGGGCTCATGGAGACGTCCAAGCTGACCGAGTGCCTGGCCGGGGCCATCAGCAGCCTGCAGGAGGAGCTGAGCCAGGAGAAGGGACAGAAGGAAGCCTTGGTACGGCGCTGTCAGCAGTTGCAGGAGCGCCTGGGCCAGGCCGAGGCCCGCGCCCAGAGCCTGGGCCAGATGGAGGCCGACCACGACCGCATGAAGCGCGAGGTCAGTGCCCACTTCCACGAGGTGCTGAAGCTCAAGGACGAGATGCTCAATCTGTCCCTACGCTACAGCAACGCGCTGCAGGAGAGGGAGCTGGCCACCACGCGCTGCCGCAGCCTGCAGGAGGAGGTACGAGGGATGGCCCCCCAGCCCCCCGCCCAGGGCCCCTCCGGTGCTGGCCTGTGCGGCCATGAGCCGCCCTGCCTGGAATCCCCTGAGGACTGGCTGGCCCGGGAGGTGCCCTCAGTGGGTGGGGAGGCCCGCCCTGGGCCCTGCCACCGTGGACACACCTGGGATCCACCTTGCTCCGGCGATGTCGGTAACCTGGGGCCCATGGGCCTCTGCCCGCCCCTCCTGTATCGTTCTCAGAGGGGCCTGGGTCTGTGCAGTAGGCCAGAGTATCATCAGTGAGGCCCTCAGACCCCCAAAACACCTTTACTCATTTTTCTGCTGGGAGCCATTATCTTCTGATTGATTTGTAGCAGTTCTTTAAATACTGAGGACATTCATTTCTTATCATCTTGGCATCTGTTGGTTGCCTTTAACTGTGGCTTGGTGTGTTTGTTTTTAGTTTTTACATCTTAACTATATTTAGAAATCATTTCAAATTTATAAAAAAATACAAATAAAAATATCGTCAACCCTTGAACTGCACGAGCCCACTTAAAGCCAGATTTTTTTTTCCATAAATGCAGCGCTGTAAATGTAATTTTTCTTCCTTATGATTCTCTTAAGGACCTTCTCTTTGCCCTAGCTCGCTTTACGGTAAGAATACGGTGTATAATGCATATAACACATGGAATGTGTTAATCGGCTATTCATGGGATCAGTGAGGCTTCCAGCTAACAGAAGGCTCTTAGGAGTTAAGTCTCGGGAGGGAGGTTCAAAAAGTTATACGTGGGTTTTCTTTTCTTTTCTTTTTTTTTTTTTTTTGAGAGGCAGAGAGAGGTTGGGGAAAGGTAGCGGGAGAGAGAGAATCTCAAGCAGGCTCCATGCCAGGCATGAAGCCTGCTGTGGGGCTCAATCCTACAGCGCTGAGATCATGACCAGAGCTGAAATCAAGAGTCGGAAGCTTAACCGACTGAGCCACGCAGGTGCCCCACAGCATGGATGTTTTTTAAGAACACAAGGCCCCCCTCTTTTCTGTAATAGACCACTCCCCGTTTTGGGTCTGTCTCACGTCTCCTCGTAAGGAGATGGGGGGTTATGCCTTTTTGGCTGGATGCTGCACGCACAGGGACCCTGGGCCTGGTTCCAGTGGCCCCACCATGGCGCCAGGCCCAGCGCCCCTTGTGGGGCATGTTAGTATCGCTCACCTGGCTCAGGTGCTGCCTGCTTCCTCTGCTTTCATCCCTGTTCCTGAGAAGCAGACTGGGGGTGGGCAGTTCTGGAACCAGCAAACACCCTGCGGCTCGTGGACATTTCCCCCCTAGACAGCCTCACTGGAGATTCTTGCCTGGACTCATCTTTACTCTGGTGGCTGCTAGACGAGGAGCCCGCATCTCCAGTGACCGCTCTGGTCCACCTGTTGGCCCTCAACATCCTGCCCATGAGGGGGAGCCTTTAATCCCCCCCAGCTCGTGCATCTGTTGTTGGCTCAGGCACGTGGGTTCCCATTTCCAATGGTGTGTAACATATTACTGTCCTGAATGGGTTTGCACAGATTGTCTCAGATTTGGCCAGGGGGAGCCCCTTGAATCTCCTCTGTGTCCTGTGGCATGGCCCCTCATTTTCTGAGCACAGACTCCCTTGCTGGTATTGCAAGAGTTCCCGGGATCGTCCCGTCCCCACCCTGCCCCAGCTCTGGGCTCAGCCATTTCCCTGAAGGGCCCTGGATTCTTGCAGAGACCAAGATCGGGGCTCTAAGGGTGCTCACTGCTCCTGGGATCTCTTTGTTCCTTGGCCCTTTCAGCAGACAAAACTAGGAAACGTGCACGTAAATATACACGTACACAGACACGTACAGATATGCATACGCACTTATGTATGCAAGAATGCATGTCCACAGACATACTTGTATTTTAGAAACTGTGAGGTCACACCCACACCTCTAATTCCGGTCAATCCTCAGGGCGTGTCCTTGCCTCCCCCATTCCATCCTCAGGTGCCCCTTCTTCCGTGGTGAGAATCCTCCCATGCACACCAGCGCTCACCTGCTCAATCCTATAGGGCACGGAAAATACTTTCACAATAGCTGTGCCCAGTGAACAAAGCTGCTGAGCAGAGCTGAGGGTTTGCAGGTCATGAGCTGCTGTGGCTGCCCGGCTCTCAGTCCCTCTCCCTCCCATCACTGTGGCTACAGTGTTTGAAATATAATTAGGTTCATTTGCTTAGGTTTATTTTCAGTTTTAGGGCCCCCGCCATTCAGATCTCAATGATTTAATTTTACTTTTTGAATATATGGAGTATAACACATCTAACCAGGGTGACCCATAGCAGGAACTGTGTAATTGCTTATGGAAAATTTGCTATGGAAATGTTGGGAGGGAAAAAGTCCAAGTGGAAAGGTTCTTCCTTCTCCTCTTGACCTCAGAGTGCATGCTAACTCCACCCTGACATCCAGACTTCCTGGGTTGCCTCTTGGGGAAGGCCCCCCACCCCGGGGCATCACACCTGCCTGGGGTGCGGTCCCAGGTCTGAGTTTCTCTTGGGGCACTATCCTGCAGGGTGGAGGCCAGCAGGACCTGGCCAGGTAGCTTCCAGAGGACCACAGCCCTGGACATGCAACCCTCTGGGGCGGGGGGGGGCACATATTTGCATGTGGACTGCAAGTGCGTCTGCATAAACCCGGCATCTCTGCTCCCCATCTGACTTGATTTCCTCTTTCTTCTCACTTACTGATTTTCACGAATCCTGATTCCCTTTATGCAATGTATTTAGCAGATTATGGAAAGGCAGGGAAGCCAGGGTGTGTGCTGAAGGACTAGCTCACTGGCCACTCACCACCCACCAGCTGCTGGGGTCCCGGAGTTTCGAGAGAGGGTCCGAGAGCTGATTTCCCGGGCTCCTTCCTCTGTTCCCTGGGCCCCACCCCATAGATTTAATGGTTCGCCTCATCTAAAAAATAAAGCTAGAAATGCCTTTCTCCTCCCCAGGAACTGGAACTATTTACTAGGTAAAACTCTTTAATGGATTTTGAAATCTCGGGGGAGGGGCCCCTCTAAGGATGAAAAGCATCCTCCTGGAGGAGAAAGGTGAGGGACGCAGGGGCCCCTGGGCTAGTGGAGAACCAGCCCTGACTCGGCCCTTCCTCTCGGCCTCCTCCTGACAGCTGTACCTGATGAAGCAAGAGATGCAGCGCCACAAGATGTCTTCCTCCTGTGAGCGGGAACTGCGCGAGCGGTCCCTGCAGATGACCGGCGTCCTGGAGCCCGGGGACAAGGAGCTGAGCCGCCTGAAGGAGGAGAATGAGAAACTCCGGTCGCTGACCTTCAGCCTGGTGGGTTCGGCTCCCGTCCCCAGCAGCTGCCTGGGGCTCCCGCAGGCTGGGCCGGGGGGGCGGGGGTGGCGGTTCTCACAGGTGGTCCGCGGAGGGGTGGCTGAGGACCGGGAGGCCATCCAGGGACACCCTACAGTTCCCTTCCTGCTCCTCACCGGCCCCCAACGTGGCAGGATGGACAGCTATTGGACGTGCCGAGCAAGGCCCCCCTCAGCTCAGCAGCTGCTGCGGTGCCGATTTAGTGGGAATTAGGCTGATTATAAATGACGGGATTCAAGGTTGGTGGGGGGGGCAAATTTTCTGCCTGCAGAATATTCTGCCATCCCGCCCAGGCGCACTCTGGAAGGAAGCCGCAGAACGGGTGATGCCAACTTCTGGAATTATGCAAACTTCTGCCCCTCCTCGTTGATTCCTTTCAGTCAATAAAATGTCTATTTATAGAGCTGTTCCTCCCAATGAGTAGACATTCCCTGGGTGCAGGGGGGGCTGCCGCGGCCGGTCTCCCGCCTGGTTGGTGCCACCGTTCCGAAGCCCCTTCCTGAGCAGTGGGCCAGAGAGGGAATGGCCTGTCCCTTGGTGTGTCCTCCGTCGGAGACTGTGCTGGTGGATTTGTGGACAGAGCGGCCTGACCCGGCCCACAAGGGGGGATGGCCACCCCGAGAGGCTTTCAGTTTCCTTTACTTTCTGTCCTCAAGCCCAGAGAAATAGAAGCAAAATGCACGTTTCCCATTTTGATTGTTGACCCTGCCTCTTCTCCTGCCTAGTGTGCAGGGATGAGGTTGAATCCATCCACACGCCTGGCCCCGAAATTTCCTGCTGCCTGTTCTTGGGGCAGAACGACGGGGCACTTCCCAGGGGCAGGCCTTTCAGGAGGTCGGGGTCCCCGGGCTGACCTCTCTTTGCCCCAGGCGGAGAAGGACATCCTGGAGCAGAACCTGGACGAGGCCCTGGAGAGCAAGCAGGAGCTGGTGGACCGCATCCACTCTCTGAGGGAGCGGGCTGTGGCCGCCGAGAGGCAGCGCAAGCAGGTGACCCCGGCAGGGCAGCGCGGGCGGGGAAGACAGGCTCTCACAAATGCTCATCCCCCATGGGAGCGTGCTGGAGCACGGACTCACAGCCCCCGGCTAGCGGTCCCGTCTGGTTTGTGGGTGGTCAGAAAAGGGTCAGACACATGAGCAGCAAAACTCCGGGTGCTTTCCGGTGGGGGTGGTGGTGAGGTTTATTTAGTCGCTACGACAGGCAATGGGAGGATTCGGAGGAAGGGGGCAGGGGCAGAGAATGAGACAGCGTGGAGGGACATCGTTTATGTCTTTTGGGACATGGAATGAACAAAATGTCGTTATACCTGCAACATCCAAGTGTGTTCTGATAACTGAAAGCAAATATAATCAGCATAGCAACTCCGCAGACGCACCTTGAAATTTAGCACTTAAGAAACGCGCGGGAGGTCACCGGTTTCACCTCCCGAACCACCCCCTCTTGTCCCCGAGGCGCCCCCCCCGCCCCGCCCCACCCTCCGCCGACCCCCAGCACTGCTGGCCTGCATGGGCTATGTTTGTCCCCGGCCAGTACTGGGAAGAGAAGGAGCAGACCCTGCTCCAGTTCCAGAGGACAAAGGTAGACTGTGACCTCTACAAGGAGAAGGTGAACGCCCTGCAAAGCCAACTGCTGCAGCTACAGAAGGAGCGCGACCAGGTACCTTGGCGGGGAAGGGCCGAGGGCCCGGGCCGGGCGGTGGCAGAATGTGTCGCCTGGCCGGGGCTCCTCGAGAAGCCTTTGGGGTTTGACCCCGGGCTGGCTGGGGTCACGCGGCTCCCTGCACCCCCCGATGGCAGCTGGTTCCAGATTCCCGTCTCTGTCCCCCTGCTGTCCCCTACTGACACGCTCCCCCTGTGCCATCCTCCCTCCTTGCCTGTCTGGCTCCCAGGCCTACTCCGCCCGGGACGCAGCCCAGATGGAGATTTCTCAGAAGCTGACAGAGAAGGATGCCCTCCGCAGGAAAGTGTTTGAGCTGACAGACCAGGTCTGTGAACTGCGCCAACAGCTCCGCAGGCCGAAGGCCGAGTCCCTGCAGGGGGTGAGTGCTTCCCTCCCACCCCGCAGGGAGGCCGGCGGCTGTGTGCGTGGCGCGTGGGGCGGGCCCCAGGCCATGTGCCGCCCGGCTGGGACACCGGGTTTGGGCATATCTGCCACACGCTGGCTCTCGTGGGTGAACCTTGTTGCCAAATCACTGAAGTCAAGTTGAGTCTGTCTGTATCTTCTTTGATGGTAATCGTATGCAAGTCATGGAAGAGGTAGCTGGGTGGAAGGTTCTGGCACCTGTAGCGTATGGTGTTCGATGAAGAAAGAAAACATATGAAACTGGGCCAGGCAGCCACTCGCTTTTGTAGATGATGCATTCCTGAGATGTTTGCAAGTCCGATGTCCAAGAGCCAACTTCCATGCATGAAGGGAACTATGTTCCCAAAGAGCTAAAATGATTACAGAACCTCCAATTATGGTCTGTCAGCATCTCCAGCTCCAGGCGCCCGGTGGGTGGGTGAGACCCTTCAGAGGCACCAGGGACCTCGGTGAGGCCTAGGCAGACCCTCTTCTTCCTAGGCGGAGCCCCCAGCCCTTCCTCCTTCAACCTCCTCACATCTACCGTGTTCCAAAAATATATATATACGTATTAAAAAAAGGTAGACCGCAAGACGCCAACGGTCCTGCCCCTGAGTGTGGAGGATGGGAGAATTTTGCTTTCTTCTCTAGTCAGTTCTGTTTGCCCCCAGTATTCTATATGGAGTTAGGAATATGATACATGTGGTATGTGTCACTTGTGTCACTGGTAAGGAACAACATATCATCTCTAAAAGAGATGAAATAGCATTCACCAGGCTGGTTACTTTCTGTCTCCTCGGGGGTCGGCTCCTGCGGTGCTGGGGGTCCCATGCTCCGAGGAGGGGACATGATGAGGGGAGGTTGCCCGGAGGGTGGAGGCGGGAGGTGGAGACAGGAGGGAGGGGACTTGCTGGAAACCCCCAAGAGCATCCAAGAGGAAACATGCCTGAACTGAGCAGCCCGGGGCCCGTCTTTGGCAGCCTAAGCAGGAAGCCGGCACCAGGGAGCCCTGTCCGAAGGGAAAGCAGCCGCTGGTGCGCATGTTCGCCCTCTGCCCGCGGGATGACAGCAACTCCAGCTGCCCCGGCCCCCCTGAGGTACGGCGGGGGCCTCCTCCCCTCCTGGGCCAAGCCGGTGCACCCTCACCTGGCGGGACAGACGGGGCCTGGCGCACGCAGGTGCTGAAGATGTCCTCGTGACGTGGACGCGGGCCTGTGTTCCGATCTGTGCAGCACACCTGCCCCGCTGCGCACGTGACCCTCACCAGCCAGGCACTGGGCCTCTCTGGGCCTCAGTGGCTTCGTATGTGAAGTGGGACCATACTACCCACCGTGTAGATTTATCCGGCCGCACTGAGCAACGTGAGATATGGAAAGCAGCTAGTAGGGTGCCTGGCACACAGTAGGTGCTCAGCTATGTGACCTTGCTCTGTGCTATGTCCTTCTCACCGCCTCTGCCCTGACAGTTGGGGACCACGGTTTATTATGGTTTTTCCGCTCATGCCGTGGAGCAGTAGGGAGGTGTCGAGCGGGGTCCCCTGGGAGCCCTGTGCCCACCTCTGCGCTGTCTCCCTCCAGTCTCAGCTCTGCTCTGACCTGACCGCCACATCCAACCGTGAGCTGGTGGACAGCTTCCGCTCCAGCAGCCCCGTGCCTCCCAGTCCACAGTCCCTGTACAAGCGGGCCACAGAGGACTTCCGGGAAGACCCCTGGTCTCTCGGGTAACGACTGGCAATGGGGTTCAGGTGGCGCAGGCCCGGGCAGCTCACTGGGACACGGGCTGAGGGTGGGGCAGGTGCAGGGGCTCTGGGTCCGAGCAGGAAGCAAGCGAGGCCCAGCCCGAGCGGTCTTCTTCCCATGCTTTCCAGTGGCTTCCCAGAAATCCTGCAGGTGGACCGGGGACCCTCCCCGGGGGCGAAGGCAGGTGATGCAGACCTGGATTATGAGATTGTAGACAGGGCAGGTGAGTGCACCCCACCTGGGCCTCTGCAGCCACCCCCCTCCCCTGAGCCGGGCCGGCTGAGCAGGAGGAGAAGTGAGAACAGGGGTCTTCAGGGAGGCAGATGAGACAACCCAGTACCTCTCCAGGGGTTGGGCTGAGGAGGCGAGCTTCACCGCTGCCCCGCCCCGGGCCTCTGGGGAATCCTGACTACCTGGTCCTTCAAGCCCATGCCCTGTTTACTGGGCGTCCTTTCTGTCTCTCACCTTGAAGCCAAGGGAGTTGTGTTCATCTTCCCGTCCAGCTCAGCATTACTGCTCAGATAGCTCCGGACACACGTGTTCTCTCTATCCCTCCCTGCTCTGATGGCGACATCAGAAGGCAGCAGGCTTTAGTCCCCCGCCCCTGGAAAAAGCACCTGCTGAGAACACCTCTCCTCCCGGGTGTGGCACGTGAGACCTTCCCACATCTCCTGTGGCTTATTCCTCATATTCGTGACTTGGCTTGTCTCCTCTCCTTCTCAACCATGGGCCCCACACAGACAGCCTCCTCACCTTCTCCACCCTGCACACCTGTCTCCAGCTGTGAGCCTCGGGCGCAGCAGGTGCTTAGCACCCCGTCTGGAATTCACCCCAGTGGCCACCAGGGAGCGCACAAACCTTGAGCTGTTCAGAACATTCACCCCTTTAGAGCAGGTGGGGTCCGAGACTCCTAGTGGGTCACTTGACTAGAAACCTTGCTCCCTGCGAGATGGGGTTAACCGAGAGGGTCCCCCCAGGGGACCCTATCCATCCTGGATGTGATGCTCTTTGTTTCCTTTTTTTTTTTTTTAAGATTTTATTTATTTGACAGAGAGAGCCGCAACGAGAGAGGAAACACAAGCAGGGGGAGTGGGAGAGGGAAAAGCAGGCTTCCCGCGGAGCAGGGAGCCCGACGCGGGGCTCGATCCCAGGACCCGGGGATCATGACCCGAGCCGGAGGCAGACGCTTAACGACTGAGCCACCCAGGCGCCCCACTTTGTTTCTTTCTGCCACAATTCTGTATAACGTCCTAGTTTCATACACTTTTAGTGGAATTGACCTCAAGTACATCAGGAGTATACTATTTTCATTTGACTCTGAATGTAATCGTGAATGGAGTTTTGCCTGTGAGCTCGGCAAAAATAGCAGGCAACCGTTGACCCAGACAGAAATGCAGGTCCAGGCAGAAATGCAGCCCAGGGTTATGCCACATTTGATTTTTTTTTAAGTTTTTATTTTAATCACCCAGTGCTCATCACAATGAGTGTACTCCTTAATCCCCATCACCTATTTCACCCACCCACCCCCACCTAGATTTGATTTTTAATGAAGCCAGACATCCAAACTCCAGCTGCCCTAGCCTGTAAAATGTTGGCAAGTCATTCAACTATCATATAAGGACACACTATAGGTCAGACCCCACTCCTGTTTTGGGGAAGATGACCTCAAGATTCTAAGCAGTGAGGAAGGGAAGAAGCAGGGAGTTTCAGCCTCAGCAGGAGACAGACCAGCAGGGGGTGCTGCCCAAGGCTGGGGTGGGGGGACGAGTTTGCCCGAGTAAGCAAAGCTCCGTCGGGAGGGGTGAGCCCCGGGGGCTGGCCTGGCCTGTGTCTGAGCCCTCCACTTCCGTTCAGACGTTCCTGAGTGTGAGAGCAGCCTGCAGCCGTGCACCGGGGGCCTCACCCTCTCATCCAGGTGAGCGGTGGGAGGGGCCAGGGCCAGCAGGTGGCAGGGCAGAGTGAGGGCTGTGTCCCATCACTATTGGGAGGTGACAGCCCCCCTGAGGATGAAGTCATGGTTAGGGTGTGTGTGTGTGTGAGAGAGAGAGAGAATTCCAGAATGCTGGGGCCAGCGGGATCAGGGCCTGGCCTGACCTCCTGCTCTGGTGGCTCGTGGGCTCTGTCACCTCCCCTCCTGCAGCAGCGTCCCAGTGAGGAGGAGGCTGGCCCGCAAGATCCTGAGCCAGGTCACCGTGCTGGCCTTCCAGGGGGACGCGCTGCTGGAGCAGATCAGCATCATTGGTGGCAACCTCACAGGCATCTTCATTCACCGGGTCACCCCTGGCTCGGCGGCGGACGAGATGGCCTTGCGCCCGGGCACCCAGATCATGATGGTGAGTGTGGCCCCCTCCCCACAAGCCCCCGCCCCGGGACCTGCTCCGGGTGGGGTCCGACTTGACAAGGGTCTGTTGTCAGGATAGCCCAGGCTCCCTCTCGGGCTGAGGTTACACTCACTTAAAGGCTACGTTCCAGTTGACTCCCATGGGAGCCCTGCCCCGTCTGGATCCCTGACGTTCGTGAACTCAGGTGGGTGAGCCCGCGAGCTCAGGAGAGGACCACCTGCCATCTGAGAAGGCTTCTGGCTGCAGTGGTGCTGACCCGGGAGGTTTGGATAAGGCCATAGCCCTGTTCTTTTACTGTGCTGATCATGTTGTGTGTATGTAGTAAAACACACAGCCATCAAATACAGTTCACCATCTTATTGGGGGCATCTTTAAAACCTTTTTTATTGCAAAATATTCGTTAAACTGCAAAACCCATAAATATACCGCTTGACTAATTATTATCAAGTGAATATGTGGGCAGGGAGGTGACTTTGATGTGGCCTGGAAGCAGAAAACAGTCACCCTGTTCCTGAGGCTGGTTCCCCCAGGAGGAGCCTGGGGTGAGCTTGGGGTGAGGTGGGGGCAGGTGCAGCAGAGGCGAGGGCTGAGAAGCATGGGCAGGCACCGCCTTTGCTCCGGAGCCCTGGGCCCGCCGGCTTCTCCCTCACCATTAACAGGCTACGTTGTGGTTAAAGCAACTTTTATGATGTTTGGGGAGACAGTCCTGATATCTTAATGTATTTTATTATTATTTATTTACTTTTGAGTTTTTAATCCCAATTAGTCAACATACAGTGTTATGTTAGTCTCAAGTGTACAATATAGTAACTCAACGCTTTGGTAATCACCCGTTGCTCTTCCCAACTCCTGAATCCCCCTCACCTGTTTCCCCCATCTCCCCACCACCTCCCCTCTGTAACCATCAGTGTGTTCTCTAGAGTTAAGAGTTGGTTTGTCTCTCTTTTTTCCCCTTTGCTCATTTCTTTTGTTTCTTAAATTCTACATATGAGTGAGATCACATGATAATTGTCTTTCTCTGACGTACTTATTTCACTCAGCATAATACCTTCCAGTTGTATCCATGTCATTGCAAATGGCAAGATTTCATTCTTTTTGATGACTGAGTAATATCCCATTGTGTGTATATACCACAGCTTCTTTTTTTTTTCTAAGATTTTATTTATTTATTTGACAGAGAGAGAGACAGTGAGAGAGGGAACACAGCAGGGGGAGTGGGAGAGGGAGAAGCAGGCCTCCCCGTGGAGTAGGTAGCCCGACGCAGGGCTCGATCCCAGGACCCTGGGATCATGACCTGAGCCGAAGGCAGACGCCTAACGACTGAGCCACCCAGGCGCCCCAACCACAGCTTCTGTGTCCATTCATCTGTCGATGGACATCTGGGCTCCTTCCATAGTTTGGCTATTGTGGACATTGCTGCTATGAACATTGGGGTGCAGGTGCCCCTTCAAATAAGTATGTTTGTATCCTTTGGGTAAATATCCAGTAGCACAATTGCTGGATCATGGGGTAGCTCCATTTTTAACTTTTTGAGGAAACTCCATACTGTTTTCCAGAGTGGCTGCACCAGCTTGCATTCCCACCAACAGTGTAGGAGGGTTCCCCTTTCTCCGCATCCTCACCAACATCTGTTGTTTCTTGCATTGTTGATTTTAGCCATTCTGACAAGGGTGAGGCCATATCTCATTGTGGTTTTCATTTGCATTTCCCTGAGGATGAGTGATGTTGAGCATCTTTTCATGTGTCTGTTGGCCATCTGGATGTCTTCTTTGGAGAAATATCTACTCATGTCTTCTGCCCATTTTTTTTATCTTCTGCCTATTTTTAACTGGATTGTTTTTTGGGTGTTGAGTTTTATAAGTTCTTTACATATTTTGGATACTAACCCTTTATTGCATATGTCATTTGCAAATATCTTCTCTCATTCCATAGGTTGGCTTTTAGTTTTGTTGATTGTTTCTTTCACTGTGCAGAAGCTTTTTATTTTTATGTCTTTTGAGTCCCTTGTCTCTGGCTACGCGTCTAGTAAGTTGCTGGGGCCGAGGTCAAAGAAGTTACTGCCTGTGTTCTCCTCTAGGATTTTTATGGTCTCAGGTCTCACGTTTAGGTCTTTCATCCACTTTGAATTTGTTTTTCTGTATGGTGTAAGAAACGGGTCCGGTTTCATTCTTTTGCACATGGCAAAAAGCTCCCCAATTTTCCCAACGCCATTTATGGAAGAGACTGTCTTTTTTTCATTGGATATTCTTTCCTGCTTTGTTGAAGATTAGTTGACCATAGGGTTGAGGGTCCATTTCTGGGCTCTCTATTCTGTTGCATTGATCTATGTGTCTGTTATTGTGCCGGTACCATAGTGTCTCGATGACCACAGCTTTGTAATAAAACTTGAAGTCTGGAATTGTGATGCCTCCAGTTTTGCTTTGCTTTTTCAAGTTTGCTTTGACTATTTGTCTTTTGTTTTATATAAATTTTAGGATTGTTTGTTCTAGTTCTGTGAAAAATGCTGGTGGTATTTTGAATGGGGATTGCATTAACTGTGTAGTTTGCTCTGGATAGTAGAGACATTTTAACAATATTTGTTCTGCCAACCCATGCTCTTGGAATGTCTTTCCATATTTTTGTGTCGTCTTCCATATTTTTCATCAGTGTTTTATAGTTTTCAGAGAACACATATTTTTCCCTCTTTGGTCGGGTTTATTCTTACGTATCTTATTATTTTTGGTGCTATTGTAAATGGGATTGTTCCCTTGATTTCTCATTCTGCTGCTTCATTATTGGTGTATTGAAATGCAATGGATTTTTGTATGTTGATTTTGGATCCTGTGACATTACTGAGTTCATAGATCGGTTCTAGCAGTTTCCTGGTGGAGTCTTTCAGTTTTTCTATATAGGGTATCGTGTCATCTGCAAATAATGAAAGTTTTAGTCCTTCCTTAACAATCTGGATGCCTTTTATTTCTTTTTGTTGTCTGATTGCGGTAGTAGCTAGAATATTTTTTTCATGATAAAAATATATACTCTTCTAAATTTAAAACCACCCAGGGTTGAGCGAATGAGTGGGGTGGACAGCGAGAGCCCTGTGCTCATGGGCTTTCACCACCAGGGCAACAAAGGCGGGGGAGGGATGCCGCCCAGTGTCCTGCATGGCCTGGGGCCAGCCCCACAGCACAGAACAATGGCCTCACATGTCAATAGTCCCAAGCTGAGAACCCCTGACCTGAAATGCTCTAGAGTGGAATCTATCTTGAAGAGTGAAAACTTGGCCCTCAGCGGTAATCTTGACACACTGCGTGTTAGGGAAGTGTTGGTGCTTGATTCTCGGCATGGGAATGAGTGTAGTTGGAGGAGGCCGCATCAAGATGTCCTGAAGCAGGGCCGGTGGCAAGGGCTCTGGCGGGTGCGTGTGGATGGCTGGGAAGGGTGAGCGGGTCCTACTGTAGAGTCCAGAATCCAGGTCAAAAGAGGCCGACGCTGGTGATTTGCCCTCAGGTGGATTATGAGGCAACAGAGCCCTTGTTCAAGGCCACCTTGGAGGACACGACCCTGGAGCAAGCTGTCGGACTTCTCCAGAGGGTCAACGGCTTCTGCTGCCTGTCTGTGAAGGTCAACATGGAGGGTACACACTCCCGCACCCCGCCCACTCCATGAGGCCACCACCTGAGACTATGCTGCTCCCGGAACCAGACTGTGCCCTAAGTGTGCAGAGGGCCGCGGGGCAGCTGGGGATCTCCTTCCTGCCCATTGGCTCCAGCACCAGAATGGCTCCCAAGACTCTGGGGGAGGCTCCTTCCTTCTTTCCTGCTTTCACATTCCAGAACCTTCCCGAGTGGGATCATGGCCCCGGGCTTATCTTTGATCAGGTTATAAGAAGTTGGTCCAGGACCTGGAGGCCCAAGTGGCTACCTCAGGGGATTCCTTCTACATCCGGGTGAACCTGGCCATGGAGGCACGGGCGGAGGGGGAGCTGCGGGTGCGATGCAGTGACGTTCTGCACATCAGCGACACCATGTTCCAGGGTCGCAGCTGCTGGCACGCCCACCGCTTGGGCCCCTACAGCACGAAGGGCATCGAGCATGGCACCATCCCCAACTACGCCCGGTGAGCAGCGGTAGTGCGCTCCAGCACCTCCCCAGGTTGGGCCGGGGGTGCGGCCAGGGGGGGCCTGGCTGGCTTCCTGTGAATGACCCCTCCTGCCCAAAAGGAGAGGGTGGGCATGATGAGACACCCCAAAGTGGAATCCCCAGTGTGCCACCCGCAATGTCACCACTTAGATGGGGTTTCTTTGTGGAAAGGGGTGACCCTTGGTCCTAGACAATTCTAGAGCATTCAGGACCAGCGTGACATTTGGGGCTGGCTCACTCAGTCACGGGGAGCCGTCCTGGGCACTGTAGGACGGTGAGCAGCATCCACCCACTGGACACCAGGAGTCCCTCTGCCCCCCAAGACAATTAAAATGTCTTAGGACATTGCCCAGTGTCTCCTATGGGTTGGGTGACCACCATCCTGGTGTGTCCAGGACTATTTTGGTTAAAGCTGGGAAAGTCCCGTGTCCTGGGGAACCCCTCAGTCCTGGGCCAACTGGGACAAAGGGCCGCCCTCCCTGGGAGCACCATCAGCCCTGCTGAGAACTGTGTTCTAGATCAACCGTGGTAGACAAAGCAGGGCATCTTGCCCCGAAGTGTCATCGCTCTCAGTGACACCAGGCTGGCTGTCGAGATTCTAGAGCGTGGCCCAGACCCAGGTTCCCACGGAGTCACCTGGGTCCCAACTCAGAACAATTCCATTGGCAGTTGCAGGGGGCAGGCTGAGGCTTTGCAGTTTTCCAAAAGCCCCAGGGGACTGTAATGCCCCCGCCCCAGGGTGGAGACAGCCGCCTGGGGCTGCAGGGGTGGGTTTGGGGGTGCTGGGCAGGGGCCTGCTTCTTCTTCGAGTCCTCCTTGCCCCTGGGTCAGGGCCGGTCTCCTTTGCACAGGGCGCAGCAGCTGCTCATCGCCCTCATCCAGGACATGGCTCAGCAAAGCACCATCGCCCGCAAGGTGAGGTGGTGAGACCTGCCAACCGGGATCCCGAACACAGGGCCCTGCTGCAGTGGGTCCTGTCTCTCTGTCCTGGCCTTCCTCCTCCTGGCTCACATCATCTGGGGTGGGTCCCGCCTGGAGGGTCCTGGCCCCATCTGGGGTGGGCTGGAAGTGGGGCAGGTGCTGGCCTGGGGGCCCAGGGACAGGGCCCATAGGCTGCTGACTCCATGGGTGTGACCTGGTGTGTCTCTCCCCAGTGGTCCCTCCAGGCCTTCACCGGGGCCTGCACACCACACCCAGCCTGCAAGCTCCTCTGTGTGCGCAGGTACATCACATAGGCTGTCTCTGTCACCCTCCCAGGTCATCCCGTTTGCCTGTCCATCTGCACCCCATCCTAGAACCTCTGATGTCCCGACATAGAACATTCAGCTGTCCCCCAGCAGGATGTTAGGGCAGCTTCCCTGGACTGGGGCAGGTCTAGGCTGTGGGGGCCCCTAGTCTTCCCTCCTGCTTTATGCAGCCTGCCCTCACTTTGGACGCCACACTCAGGAGTGCCCTGCTCGGGGGCTCTGCCTGAGGACCCTCTCCTGCCTCCCTTCGGCTCCCACCCTCTGGCATGGGGCCTGAGCCTCCTGGCTGTTCAGTGGGCACAGTCTGGTGGTCCAGGGACCAGCTTGGATTTTGCAGTGGGCTAGGGTCCTGTCGGCTTGGACACCTGCTCGTCCCTCTTCCCTCCTCCAGCAGTCTTCCAGGGGACCCCAGAAGCTGGTCCGCATCGTCAGCGTGGACAGAACCAAGGCCAGCCCTCTGCGCTCATCCTTCGATGGGGCCCTGTGGGAGCCCAGCAAGCTGGAAGGTGAGGCGGGTAGCACAGGCGAAGGGGGCTCTTGATGGCCACTGTGTGACGTTTGTGGGTGTGAGGTCACGACAGAGGTCAGCGTGGCACGCACCCCTATCAGGTCAAACCCTCACTGAAGACAGTGGGAGTGGATTGAGCGTGAGGTGAATTGTTTTGAGTTAATTTTCTTCTTCTTAGCAAGTGTTTTGGGTGCATGATATGACTGTTGAAAACAGAAGTACAATCTAGAAGAGCAGGGACCAGGAGGGAGGGAGGCCTGGTGCTGTGGGTCCAGCGAGGGCGAGGACCCTGGGGCCTGTGGTCGTGCAGCGTGCTGGAAAGGAAGAGAACTGCTTTTCTCTACCCCCACTGTGGGCCCGTGGAGCTGAGCCCGGAGAGACGCCGAGCCACCTCATCAACGGGTGCAAAGAACCACCAGCCACGGGGTGTGGGACACACGTGTCCCTGGTGCAGGCTGAGCCTGTGTTACTGCCCCAAACACACACAGTCTGTCCTGTGGCCTGAGAGGCTGGTGGACTGCCCAGCTTGGCGCCCGGCCCGCTCACACCTCCTCTCCCCCACAGAGTCCTCCACTGCGTGCTTCTGGGCCGAGAGCTGCTTCACCCTGGTGCCCTACACCCTGGTGCACCCCCACAGGCCCAGCCAGCCCCGGCCAGTGATCTTTGTGCCCAGGGTGGTAGGGAAGATCCTGAGCGAGAAGCTGTGCCTCCTCCAAGGGTTCAAGAAATGCCCAGCAGGTACGCCATCACCTGGGAGCCCCACCTGCCTGCCGGGTGTCAGGGCAAGGCCTTGGCAGAATGCTTGCCTTCGCTCGGGAGAGCAGTGTGGAGGTCACCGTGCGAGTGTCCTGGGCCGCTTGGAATAGCAGAGGTCTATTCCCCCATGGTGATGGAGTCCAGAAGGCTGAGATCCAGGCGTCTCTGTGCTGCCCCCGCCCCCCCCGCCCAGAGGCTCTCAGGGGGAGTCACTCCTTTCCTCTTCTGGCTTCCAGGGGTGCTGATGGTCCTGGGGGTCCTTGGCTTGTGGCTGCGTCACTTCTGTCTCTGCCTCCTTGTCACCAGGCCTCCTCCCGTCTCTCTGTGTCTTCACACGGTCTTCTTATAAGGAACCAGTCATGGATTCAGGGTCCATCTTACTCTAGTGCGACCTCATCTTCACTAACCACATCTGCCAAGACCCTATTTCCAAATACGGTCACATTCCCAGGTTCCAGATGGTCACGTATCCTGGGGGGATGCTATTCAATCCAGTGCGGTTACTGCTGGCAGATAGGTTTGTACTCAAGTGGGACAGGACCCCCAAATGGCTCTGTCCATCTGCTCACCCCCAGAGCTGCTTGGTGGAGAGTCATGGAGAGGAACGGGCCATCTGGAATCCTGGATCCCAGGGTACAGGGCCTGAGTGTCTGCACAGCAGGAGAGGTGGTTCCAAGGTTGGCGAGCAGGAAAGCAGCTTTGTGGGTCTTCATTCATCAGCTCGTCAATGGCTACAGGATGCCTTGGGTTACCACCGGAGGGGGAATAGGGCTCTGTCCGGAGCCTCCTGGGGTTCACAGAGGGCACAGGGGTGAGCGAGTCTGGCTCCTCTAGCAGGCACCTCCCGTATGCCAAGTTCCCAGCAGGTTGGTGGAGTGGGGCAGCCTCCTGGAGACAGACAGGCTGCTGGGCGTTGGCTCCACAAGTGGCCCAGAGAGGGAGACAGATGCTTTGGAGAAGACGGGGGCGCAGCTGGGCTCTGACGGGCAGGCAGGAGCTGGTGGGGCCACAGGCCGGGCAAAGGTGCTGTGTGCTGCGGCCCCAGGGGCCAGAGGGGGGCCAGAGGCGCTGCAGGTGCAGCACGCCGGGGAGGAAGGGCCTCGGAGGGAGCTGTCTGTGAGCTGGAGTCCCCATGATGGGGGCGGGGGTGGGGGGAGGTCTGACGGAGGAGAATGCACACTCAGAACAGAGGTGATTCAGGAAGAAAAGCAAAAGCGGGGTGTGTTTTGACAGGTTTATTCAGTGCAAGCGTTCTCAACCTTGGCCCTGACAGTCGGGTGGGGCTGCCTCCCCCCGTGTGGGGGCATCCTGGAAACTGCAGGACGTTGAGCAGCACCCCGGCCTCCACCCAGTAGACACAGTAGCATGCCCCCCACAGTGGTGACCGCCACAAATGTCTCCAGATGTTGCCAAGTGTCCCCTGGGGGTGTAGCTGCGCCCAGCTGGGAAGCGCCTATGTGTGGGCTCTAAGGCATTTCTAGGTGTGAGAAGCTGGATGTGTGCACTTGCACTTTTGGAGCTTGGGCGGGGGTGATTGGGGAGGGGCTCGTTTATCTGCATCGTTGAGTGTGCAGGGCACAGACTCCTCTTGAGTGCTAACAGCAGGGTCAGGTTTATAAAGAGGACATCCTGGGAGGCACGTCCCCCAGAGCTGGTGGGGGACCATGGGGGGCACGTTCAGCATAGAGCTCCCTCAGGACCTCACAGAGTGTGATGTCCCTGTCCACTGTCACCTTCAGAGTACTTGAGCCAGGAGGAATACGATGCCTCCAGCCAGAGAGGGGACATCATCCAGGAGGGGGAGGCATCTGGTGGCCGCTACTGGGTGACCCGCCGGGCTGTCGAGTCCCTCATGGAAAAGGTAAGGGGGGCGCCTGGGTGGCTCAGTCGGTTAAGCGTCTGCCTTCGGCTCAGGTCATGATCCTGGGGTCCTGGGATCGAGTCCCGCATCGGGGGGGGGGGGTCCCTGCTCAGCGGGGAGCCTGCTTCTCCCTCTCCCACTGCCCCTCCCTCCCAACTCACGCTCTCTCTCAGTCCTGCTCTCTCTCTCTGTCTAATAAAATCTTTAAAAAAAGAAAAGGTAAGGGGCGGGTGGGGCTGCTCTGGGGGCTTGGGGACCTTCTCCAGAGGACCTTGAGATCTGGGGGACCCTGGTCACCAACCTGCAAGCCAGGGACCCCCAGTGCTGGTGCTCAGCTCGTCTCTGGCTCTGTGTTCAGAGGGAGGAGTGCAGAAAGATCCAGCCCCGTCTCTGCCATCTGGGATCCGTGGGACTCTGGGCCAGCCTCTTAACATCCCTGAGCCCAGTTCCTCAACACAGGAAATGCTGAATAATATTTGTTAAATAACGAGTAAATGGAGATAACACCCCATGCCTTGAGGCTCACACAAATATACGAAAGGCAGCTTACGGTGAACCATGCAGTTTTATGTGGACCTAAGAGGGCCAGGCCCAGCTGTGCACCAGAGGCAGACGCCCCCTTCCCAACAGTCCCCTCGCCCCCCCGCCGCAGAGGCTGATGGAGCCTTCCGACCCCTTGGGTTCCAGCCCCTCTCAAAGTCTCCCTCAACTCCAATGGCTCTCAGTTCCTAGATTTTCCAGATTGACAAACCAAAGGGACAGACTCTTGATTGTAGAACCAAGTGCCCTCGGCCACCACAGAACAACCCTGGCTTCTCTTCCCCCCGGCCCTCCCGGGTGTGGTCTCCCTTTGTTGTCTCCGAGGCCAAGGACCTTGACCCATCCATCGCCCACGTCCCCTCCAGAACACCCACGCCCTCCTGGACATCCAGCTGGACAGCATCTGTGCCCTGCACAGGATGGAGATCTTCCCCATCATCATCCACATCCCCATCAACGAGAGGGCAGCAAAGAAACTCAAGTAGGTATGCCCCTGAGGGCTAGTGGTGGGGTCTACACCTGGCACCACTTGCCTCCAGGGCATGGGGCGGGGGGTCTCCAGGAACTCGCCCTGCGCCAGCGCCTGGAAGCATGGCAGGGCAGTTCCCCCACAGCTTCTGGGACAAAGGACCTGCTGCCCTCCCCCAGGCAACAGCCTGGGGGACGGTGAGGTGAGACCTGGAGCCTGCCTTGAATAAGGGCACGTGTTCACTGGGGTACACGCAGCTGACAGTCCACCCGTGCTAGGTGAGGACAGGGGCTGAAAACCATTACTGGGTTTACGGTTGGGGACAAACCCAGACGTCCTGTTGCCCCCTTATAGTGTGTCAGCCGAGCTTGTAAACCAGAGCCCGCCCCCCGCCCCCGCCGTGCCAGTCATCTGAGGCCTGACTCGTGTGTCCTCTACGAGGCACTTGGGCCCCTCGAAGTGGGGGTCTGTACGCTGTCCCCTGGACTCCGAGCTGGGCTCTGCTCCGGGCAGCCAGCATGCGGCTCTCCCTAAGCGTGTCCCGTGTCCGGCTCGTGCAGGAAGGCCCTGCAGCGGCACGGCACATCCGAGGAGCAGCTCCTGGAGGCGGGCAGGCAGGAGGAGGCTGAGCTGGACAAAGCGCCCTGTCTATACAGCAGCCTGGCCCCCGAAAGCTGGGGTGACCTGGAAGCACTGCTCAGCTGTGTGCGCTGCGCCATCGGAGACGAGCAGAAGAAGGTCGTGTGGACAGAGCAGAGCCCCCACTGACGGCCCCGCAGTCCCCTCCAGGGCCTGTGGGGACCTCTGAGTCCCTGTGATTTGAGCTCAGAGCCTTGCGGGCACAGCCTTGGGGGGTGCTCACCACATAAGCCCAGCTCTCTGAGCATCTGCTCCCCTCACTGGGGTCCAACCTTGAAATCCACTCTGTGCAGGTCACAGGTGGGCATTCGAACCATCCGCCCACCTTTCTGTGCAAGTCATCTCCCCCTCCTCCAAGGCTTGGCTGCCAGGGTCTGAACCAGAGGCCTTGAAAACACGTCTGTGGTTTGGCATCTCCAGCACCCTCCCTCCCACAGCGGGAGGCCCCAGATGTCTCCAGAAAACCACCTGTCTGACCCAATTCTTCCCTTTTGCATTTCAATGTGCCAAAGGGCTCGTTCCAAAGCCACCGAGGCAGCAGGCTGGTAGCCCTGGTGCCCCCTAAAGTCACTGCCATCCCCGCCCAGAGTGAAGGCACAGACCCCCTTTTAAGGTAAGCCTGGCTAGCTTTCTCAGCTTCTGATGGCTGACACCTGCTTCAGTGACTCAAGTTTGGAAAGTCGTGTGTACAAACTGGGAAATATGGTTTCCCAACAAAGGAAACAGTATTTTAGTGGGTTTCTGCCTGGTGGCCACCATACCTGGTTCAGGGACCCACGGGGGTGTCCTGGAGAAGCCTCCCACAAATACCCTTGCACACCGGCCGGGCTCCTCCTGAGCCCGAGATCTGCCCCCTCTACTGGGCAGCCCACTCAGCCCCTTCTCCAGGGCAAAGCGCCTTTCCTCCACCTCCAGAGCTCAGTAGACATGTGGGCATGGTTGGGCCAAGCCCCCAGGCCCCCTAGCACCTGGCTGTGCCCCCTACTGTGGGAGACTGAATGTCATTCCCCTGAACCCGAGTGCCTCAGGAAGTTGCTCTAGAATTCAGGCCAGCCTTCTCATAAACAAGCCAGAAAATGACCTGCACGTTTTACTAAAATAAAAGACTTTTACAGTGTCCCGGACTGTGGCTCTTCCTCCACGCCCCCAGGATGGCATTGGTGGGGGAGGGCAGGGGAGAGCGGGAGCCCACCCACTCAAGGGAAAAAGCCCCCGCGTTCTGGGCTTTCCAGGGAGACCTTCTACTTTCCCGGCAGGCGGGCACCTGGCAGGTGTGGAGCATCTGTGAGCAACATCCATGCCACAGCCCTGGAGTCCAACCGGACAGAACTAACCCAAGCCAGAGGACGGGCTCTTCCCCCTTGGACATTCAAAAAGGACGAGCTTGCCTCTATAGACCACAGAATGAAACTCGGCACGTGGGCAGCCTGCCGTGAATCAGCGGCCTAGTGGAAACCCAGCCAGGGTCAGGAACTTGACCGTGGGGCAGAGCAGAACAAGCCCCAGGCATGTTCACAGATTTTTTCAAGACCAGAGATTGATAAAAGGCAGATACCGCGTCCCTACATAGAGTGTAGTCTGAACCCTCCAAGCACCCATGTGGTACCTGGAAGTGGGGACATCTGGGGGCTCCAAAGAATGAAAAGAATCTTAAGCTCCAGGTCCCAGCCCCTTCTCTCTGCAGGTCCCCAACCTGACCCAGGACACGAGACCCCCTTGCCCAGACCATCCTCACCTGTCACGGACTGGGGGCCCCACCCTGTTCCAGGATCCCCTGGAATTCCTATGCTGAGACAGGGCTCAGACACAAGAACAGCAGCATCCCCTACCACAGGGGGGGGTGAAGGACTGGGTCACACGCCCTGTTCTCCCCTCCAGGCAGTGGCAGAATGACACCAACATCGGGGAGAGCCCTTATCAGATGGGCCGCGTGGGGACCCGGTCTGGGGAGGCTGCGCACGTGCCCCAGGGAGGCTCACAGCTCATTGTGGAGTGGCCGGCACTGGGGGGAGAGCCTCTCCTCCAGGACGCCATCGGGAGCACACACCCAGGGGTCATGGGTCTCCCACTGCCACTTGGCCAGCTCGGTCTGCAGCAGTTCAAGAACCTGCGCATAGTGGGGGTTGGCAGCCAGGTTCCGGGTCTCGTGGGGGTCCTGGCTCCTGTCATACAGCTCCCAACGCTCCCGGTAGTAGTAACGGTGGAGATCCTTATACCAGCCGGTGGGGCGGCCGGCCACAGTGCGGTTCAGGAGGTCCTGGAAGGTGGGCGACACGTAGAAGTCCTGGTCGATGGGAAAGGGCATCTTGAAATTGAGGTTGTGCACGAGGTGGAAGGTCTGGTGGTGCACGGAGCGCATGGGGTAGGCCATGGTGACCTCGTGGTGACTCTGGCTGCCAAAGACGGTGCTCCAGAGGGGCTCTGCCTCCAGCACCGGCAGGAGGGATCGGCCCGTGAGCCGGACAGTCTTTGAGCCAAAGATGGCATAGCTCGGGTAAGGGATGGAGAACCAGTCCAAGATGGTGGGCGTGAGATCTGGAAAGGAGGCGGTGTCTCAGCACGGCAGCCCTCCAGCCACCAAGCCACTCTGACTCCAAGCCACTCTGGAACACTGGTGGGCCACCTCGTGTACTGGATCACCAACAGGGAGGAGCCGCTGTGGGCCCCATACCTGTCAAGGTTGTCTCGGCCCTCTAGCACACGATGCCTTTAGTGGTTTAACAAGAGGCCCCAACTTGGTGATATTCAGGATCCTACCAGAATCCTCTGGATCAGTAAGGAAGCCCCCACGGAGGGGGCGCAGCTCTTCCTGCCCTGTCCTGTGGCCACCCTGCTCCCCGACTCGTGCTTTGGGGCCAAAGGGAGATGTGGGCCCCAAGCTGCATGGGCCCTGCTGCCCTGAACCCTCAAAACAGGGGCTCCCCAGGGCCTGCAGCATCAGTATCACCTGGGAGCTTGTCACAAATGCTACTTCTCAGGCTCCACCCCAGATCTACTTCACCAGACACTCTGGGGGTGGGGCCTGCCGGGTGGGCGTTAACAAGTGCTCCAGCTGAGGCCGGCGCTCACCAGCGGGCCAGTGGGGAGGGCAACAGTCTCAAAGACCGCGAGACCCAAGCTAGAATCCTAGCTCGGTGCTTAAGAACTGTGGGACCTTAGGCAACTTACCTCTCTGATCCTCACTGCTGCATTTGTAGAATGGGGTGGGCCGTCCCTTCCTTGCCCAGGTGGTGTGGGCACCACATAAGGCAGCCGGCCACGGAGCACTGCCTGGACGTGGTGGTGCCGCTCAAGTTTCACCTCCCCCACCCCTGCCCGTGTGAGCTGCAGAGCCGCACCTAAGAGACTCACGTAGGCCTCGCTGACCTGGCCCCAGCGTTTCATGTGTTCTGGGGACGACACCAGCAAGGGTTCAGCCGTGCCCGGCCAGTACAGGTTGGTCCTGCCGCTGGGGAAGGGGATCCCGTTGTCGGATGTGAAGATCACCAGGGTGTCATTCAGGGCACCTGCTCCGTGCAGCTCCTGGAGCACGAGTCCGACCCCTGGGGGTGCAGAGGGGACAAAAGAGCTCAGCCACGGCCAGGCGTGCAAGGGTGGGAACGTGCGTGCGCTCACACATTTCTTCATCAGGCTGCTGGACGCTGCACCCCTGCCGTCCCTCCCTCCCACCCAGCACCCCGTCCAGCAGTAAGCCAGGGATGTCGGCCATCCCTCAGCACGTCCACATCACCCTGTGAAGCTGCTCCCTGCAGACGCTGGTTTTTGTTTTGTTATCCAGAGTCCCATGCCTGTCCCGGGGCATAACTGGGCAGTATGGGCAGTGGCTGGAAGACAGGACTCCCTCTATGCCTGTCCCCTCCCCAGGTCACCACCGGCTAATGGTGGTTCTCCCATTCGGAGAAGGGATCTTTGCAGCTGCAATCATCAAGGATCTCAAGGTGACTGTCCCACAGTGCCCAGGTGGACCCTAAATCCCATGACATCCTTATAGAAGAAACACTGAGAAGACACCCAATAGGCTGTGTGAGGACGGGGCAGAGAGGGGAGGGATGCAGCCAGGAGCCAAGGAACGCCTGGGGCCACCAGACGCTGGAAGAGGCAGGAAGGACTGCCCTGTCCCCTAGGGCCTGCAGGGGGGACACGGCCCCGCCGACACTGTGACTTCGGAGCTCTGGTCTGGGATGGGGCCCACGCTGGGGCATACCCCACGGTCCAGGCTCCTTGAACCCACCTTGGTCCATGCGGCCGATGGTGGTGTACTGAGCAGCCAGGTCCGCTCGGGCTGCAGGAGTGTCAGGGACGAAATAAGGCACCTGGAGCGGCACGCGGGTGCGAAGTCAGGGCTAGAACACACGGGCAGACAAGCTGGGGGGAAGGGGTGACCAGTCCTTGAATTGGGGTAGGAGATCGAGGAGCCGGCCTTCCTTCCAGGGCCTGAGCTCCCCCTCCACCAGTGAGCGGTTGAGCCCAGAATGTCCCTGCTTCTGGACACGTCACTCCACGTCTTGACGCCTCTCTTTGCCGGCCCCGCGGACGGGAACCCGGATCCACTGAGTCACAGAGTCTCCTCTTAAACGTGGTGAAGTCACACACCCGGGGCCAGGGCAGCCAAGTCCTCCGATTTACAAGGTGGAGGAGGAAGGGTAAGCGAACATCTTGGACACACAGTGAGGGGCTCCTACCAGCACGTCCTGCGGGTCGTAGGTCTGCGGAGTCCAGTCTGGGATCTGCCCCATGCCGCTCTCCCCGTTGCCAAACTTCTCACAGAAGGTCCCATACTGGGGCTGGGAGTGCCCACAGCGGTGGGGGTCGTGGAAGGCGACGTAGAGGAAGAAGGGCCTGCCCAGGGAGGGAGGGGCTTGAGTCCTGAGGTCAGCCGGTGGACATGCCACCTGGCTTTCTACTCTGGGGAGCCCCCTTCTTTAGGAGGGAACACCCCTCAGCGTCGCTCACCCCTCTAGAACTGAAAATCTCCCTGGGATTCTCCGTCTCAGGTTCCCCGTGTCTCCTCCCCTTTTGAGTTTCTGGAACCTTCTCCCCCTCCCCCACTCCTCCACCCAGGGCCTCCCAGAATCCCCACTAAAGACTCTGGGATGTGCATCACAGCTTAGCTGCCCAGAGGTCTGGCCGCGTGGGGGAGGGGACGGGGGCGTCTTCACACCTGTCATCCTGAGTCTGCAGGAACTTCCGGACCAGCAGCCGAATGTTGGTGATGTTCCGCCCCACCTGGAGGATGGAGCCGTTCTCCTCCGTGTGCGCAAATTCGAACGGGTACACCGTCTCGGGCCCCACATGCTTCTTCCCAATGATGCCTGGAGGCAGGGACATGGGCCTGCTGGAGTCCCCGAGCTCGCCCACTGTCCTCCTTTCCTTCCCGCCCCCAAACCCCACGGCCCTGGCGTAGCCTCCATGAGATCAGCCCAGGCCCTTGTCCTCACCGACCCAGGGCCCAGGGAGAAGGCCCTGGACCTTGGGTGCTCCGAGCACGCGACACGGGTGGAGGGTGGCTCAGGACCAGGCCTCACCCCACTGGGGCATGAGGCCGCTCACCTGTGCGAATGCCGGCTTGGCCAAGCAGCCTTGGCAGACTCTGCACCTCGTCGAAGGAGGTGAAGTGGTGGACACCCTGGTGCAGGCCGTACATCCCGTTCTGATGCTGCGGCAGAGATGCCCATGAGGCGGGATCCCGCCCTGCCTGCCCCCACTCTCCCCACGGCCCTTCCTGCCCCCCCCCCCCCGGAGAGCCCGGCAGCCAGCATCCTGGGAGAGTCTCACCACCTCTCCCGGGCCATGGGACGTCAGCAGGAAACATGACAGCCTAGGAGAATGTACCCATAATTAGGGGTGGTTTTTATTTTCTTCTCGTCTACCTATACTTCCCAACTTCTTTGTCACGAGCACATACCGTGGTGGGAAAAAGGGCAACAAGCCTCTATTAACTGGATTTTTTACAGTGCAAAAAAAAATGGTCGACACGTCACAAAGTCAGACTAGAAAAAGACGTAAGGTGCGATGGGGCAGCCCTGTCCTCACTCCTGCGGCCCGTGGCTGCCCAAGGAGCCTTCCGGGGGGATGGGGGGGACACAGACCACAGCTTCCCTCTCCACGTGCACCTTGGTCTCTCAGATGGGGACGCACAGGGCACAGCGGCTCACCGTCAGAGGATGTCACGAGACGCAGGTCCAAATAAGTACCTGCGTCCCCACGTTCATAGCAACACCACTCATCACAATCACAGGTAGGAGCAACCTAAGTGTCCACGGATAGATGGACGGGTAAACAAAACGGGCCATACCCATAGGATGGGTCGCTGGCCAGCCCTTTCGGCCACGAGAAGGAAGGCCGTTCTGTGCTACATTGTGTAGGGACCTGGGGGGGGCACTCCGCTCAGTGCAATAAGGCAGTCACAAAAGGATACACACTGTAGGACTCCCCTAAGAGTAACCAAGTTCAGAGAGACAGAGAGGTGAGGAGCAGTTGCCAGGGGCTGGGAAAGGGGAGCGGGGAGCAGTGTTAACGAGCACAGCGCTTCCGTTTGGGAAGATGAAGAAGTTCTGGAGGTGGATGGATGGACGCATGGCTGCACAACAGCGTGAATGGACCTGATGCCATTGAGCTGCACGTTTGTGAACGATGAAAAGGGTAAGTTCTATGCTATGCATATCCTAGCAGAGCAAACACAGAGGAAGTGCTTCACAGGGCACCTCTTACCTGCACTCAAGCTCCTGGACGATATCGTAACACGAGTTAACGCTGAGCAAGTGCTTGTCAGACACCTTCCCACGTGCTTTATGTATAAACCACGAGCTTGGCCAACCCCATAACGATTCCATGAACGAGGTATTATCATGACCCCGTTTAACAGGTAAGAAGATCGAGGTGCACAAATAGTGCTTTACTCACAGTCACACAGAGCAGTGGAGCCAGGGCTCATGGTGGGCAGGTGGTGGGGAAAAGAAGGTGAGCACATCCCAGGAGAGGTGAGGGAGGGGCTCTCCCTCTCCCGTGCCCTCCTCCTGCACCCCTGCGGCCCTCACCTGGGGCAGGCCAGTGAGCAGACTGGCCCGGCTGGGAGAGCAGCTGCTGACGGAAGTGAAGGCATTGCGGAAGACCAGGCTGCGGCGGGCCAAGGCGTCCAGGTGGGGGGTGCTGATGGCACTGTTGTTGTAGGTACCACTCTCAAAGCCTCCGTCATCCGCTGAGGAAGGCAGAGACACTGAGGCCGTGGTGGCCTGGGCCAGTGAGGTCCACGCAAGTGGGATACCCGGGTGGGCATGACCCAAGCGGGCATGACATCTGGGCGGCCTGACACCTTCCCGGGACTGATACCCAGGGGTCATGACACCCAGAGGCCATGATACTCAGGTGGCCCTGTTAGCAAGTGGGCATGATTGGGCAGTCCTGAGCTCGACAAACGCTGCATGAGGATATGCGGTTTCTGTACCTGTGTCCCCAGCAAGGAGGAGCTGATGGGAGCCCTTAGGGGAGAACTGTTTTATGCTACAATCAGTTGCAAGGCCCGGTTGGGGACCACAAAGTTAATCAGAGAGAGTGCGTCTGGTACAAAGCCAAACCTCAAAAGAGGAAAGAATAGGGTTGTCTTGTGACAGCTGGAGCCCTGGTCACCAAGTCTCTGAACAGCAAGCACTAGAAGAACTTGTGATTTCTGGGAAGGGCTGGGGTTAGGGGAGAGGGCGGGGGTGGGGGGTGAGGGGGGTTGGCTGTGCTTTTCAGCCAGAAGGAGATCTGAGCCGCAGGGCTCCGGGGTCTGAAAACGCAAGGGCAAACTTACAGGGTTACACCGCTGGGGAGGAGAGGAGAGCGGGGCGCCCCGGGCACGCAGCCACCTCTCTGGGGACCTGGGCATCAGCCCCTCTTCCAGCATCCCCTCTAGGGACTGTACAACACTGCGTTCTGGAAAACAGCCCAGCTTCCCGAGCTGGGCGCCCTGGCTGATCTGGGCACGGGTAGGGGTGGGGTCAGAACCGGGGGCAGGACTGGGGTGCTGAAGGCTGGCCGACACGCGATGCGTGAGGCCGCCCCTGCCTCCCTCTCCAAGGAGCCGACCGCGAAGGGTCTGGGGCAGCGGGGAGCGCAGACGCGAAGGGCTGCAGGGCTCGCTGGCTGGGGCGCACTCACCGAGGATCAGCAGCACGTTCCGGGGACGCGCCGGGCGCAAGCGGCAGAGGACCAGGGCCAGCAGCAGCACCCAGCAGGTCGGCCCTCGGCGGCGCATGGCGGCGGTTCAGCCCCGCCCCACCCCGCCCGCGGTCACGCGTGCGCTGGCCCCGCCCTCCGGTGGTCACGCGCGACCACGCCCCGCCCCCGGGTGATCACGTGCGCTCCAGGCCCCGCCCCTCCCTCTCCTCTCTCCCGCTCCCTTTGCGGTTCCTGCGGACCCCGCTGCGGCGACACCCGGAGACCCCAACCTGCGGCACCCGGTGAGTCCGCGGCGGGCGGGGAGCGGGGCTCGCGGCCCGGGGCGGAGTGGGCGAGCTTCGGGGGACGGGCCGGGGTCGCCGGGGGTGGCGCGGGGCCCGAGGGTGCGGGCTCCTCCCGCGGGGACCCTTCCCCACTGTGTCTCCACCGCGTCCCCACCAGGTCCCCGCCGCCCTCGGCCTTGCTGGACTGGTCAGCCGGCGTGGGGTCCCCACCTTAGACGGCAGGGTCCGGGGCAAGCGTCCTCGGGGGTGGGAGGCGGGGTGTGTCCAGAGCTGGTTAGGGGGGTTTGGGATGGTATGCGGCTGGCTCTGCGCGCGGGGGGCGCCAGGACCCTAGAGAATGCTGCGCGTCCTGAATTAATGGCCTCGGACGCTCTCCCAGAGCCCGCTAGAGTCCCTCGGCGCTGCTGTAGGGACGGGAAAGCCACAGGTCGGGGGTGGGGTAAGGCGCGGCCTCAGGGTGCGAGACCCCCAGCCGCCAGCGCCGCAGTGGGTGGAGTCCGCGGTGCTACGCACTTGGAAAGCCTGGGGCGCTCATGGCTGCAGTCCCCCCCCCGCCCCCGCGCACACACCCCCAGCCGGACGAGGGTGTCCCCGTGGATCCTGCTACTCCTTGCACTGCTCCCCGCTAAATTCCTTGGGGAGGGAAAAAGAAGAAATGCAATTTTTCGGGAGGAGAGACGCGGTGTCTCATTAGTGTTTAATTTTCTCATTGAGAAATCATATACCGCATTTTTCCTGGCAAGTGTCGGTGGAAAGGAGGCAGCTGGGGTTGGGGCTGGTGGGGTTCAGGGAGAGCAGCGAGCAGGGGCCAGGGTGGGGGACTACACCTTTTCTTGAGGCCCCGTTCTGCACAGGTTTGGCTCCCCCCCCCCGGAGGTGGGGGAGACGGATGTGCCTCTCCTGAGGGCCCTAGACCCCGCTTTATTGCTGCATTCTCCCAAGCCCAGACCCTGACTGCTGGTCTTGTGGCCCCCATGCACACTCCAGGCATGCCATCTTCTGTGAAGGCGTTGGGTCAGGCCAGGACCTCGGGTGCCAGTATGGCCCCCCAGGCCCACTGCTGCTCCCCTGCGGCCGTGCAGAGGCGGCTGCCCATCCTGGCTTGGCTGCCGGACTACTCGCTGCAGTGGCTGAAGATGGACTTCATCGCTGGACTCTCGGTTGGGCTCACAGTCATTCCCCAGGCGCTGGCCTATGCTGAGGTGGCTGGACTCCCGCCCCAGGTGAGATGGCTGCCCCGGCCGCCGCCCCCACCCCAGCCTCAGCAGCTGCCCGGAAGCAGAGTAGGAACGTATCACGTGCCCTCCACACAAGTGGTGCGCCAGAACTCCAGCCCCGTGGGGCCCCAGAAGTCTTGGTGTACCGTCCATAGCACGTGACTGCCTTGGGGCAGATGCACGCCCCCGTAACTGCTCTTGTCACACTTGTCACACGAGGCACTGAGCTAGTTCTGGGTTGTCCGAGGGGGCCAGCAGGATGACTCACCGTGGTCTCAAGGACACTTTCTTAGACTCACAGACTGAGACAAGCATCCAGGCCTTTGCATCCATGCTGGCACGCAAGTGGGGTGCAGTAGAAAAGAGGCCCCTAATCGCCGTGGGTCCGCACCATGGCTAACGGGGTGAGCGCTTTGCCCTGTGTGTGCTGCTGTGTAGTCACAACGGCCCCCACAGATCCCGTGCTCAGACATCTCCCCCTGGGACTCTGTGGGCCCCCTGTGCACCTCGTCGATGTTCAGTGCCGTCTCCCCCCCAGTACGGCCTCTACTCTGCCTTCATGGGATGCTTCGTGTATTTCTTCTTGGGCACCTCCCGGGATGTGACGCTGGGCCCAACGGCCATCATGTCGCTCCTGGTCTCCTTCTATACTTTGCACGAACCCGCCTACGCTGTGCTGCTGGCCTTCCTGTCTGGCTGCATCCAGTTAGCCATGGGCTTCCTGCGCTTGGGTAAGACTGTTGGGCCTTCCTGCCCGGGGGTACCCAGGCACCTGCCTCCTGGGGATGCCCTGGCCCTCAGCCTTTCCTTTTTTGCCTCTAAAGGGCTGTTCCTGTGCGTGTGTGAAGGTGGGGGGGGGGGTTCTCCTCAGCCCTCCGCTGTTCTGCTTAGAGGCCAAGACATTTGGAGAAGTGTCCAGGGCCTCAGACCCTAGCCTCCCTTCCCCGCTGTCCAAACCTGTCCATACAGGGTGTGTGTGGTCCAACAGTGCTTAGCCCCAGTCCCCCCAGACCACCTCTCCCAGCCCACATCCACCCACGTTCTCTGGGACTGGTGGTCCCAGCTCAGTATTCCCTCTTGGCTGGCCAGGCTTTCTGCTGGATTTCATCTCCTGTCCCATCATCAAGGGTTTCACCTCCGCTGCCGCCATCACCATCGGCTTCGGGCAGATCAAGGTAGGCACGCTGCTTGGTGGCCAGGCCCCTCCTGGGTCGTAGGACCGAGGCTGGCTTCCCCACGTGTGGGCCAGTTCATGTCTTGCTCTTCCAGAGCTCAGAGCACAAGGTGCTCAAGTGGGTCTCCATCGATTCCGGGAGCCCTCAGGGGAGATGCTGAGTGATGATGGGACCATACGACAGGTAACTGGGGTGACTGGTAACAGCAGCCCCACCCCTGTTGGAGCTTTGGGGCCAGCGTGCTTGGTCCGCCTCACGGGGCGATTCCGTTCTGCTGCCTTCCCTCGGCCTCTTAGGCCGTCAGCATCCCGTTAACATGTTGAAGAACGAATTATTCCTCCATGCTCGTTTAGCTAGGTGATTTCATTTTAACGTTTTTTCCCCGCAATTTCTGTTCAGGACTTTTTAAGATTTCGTTTATTTATTTGAGAGAGGGAGCACATGCGCAAGTAGGGGGAGGGGCTGTGGGAGAGAGGCAGACTCCCTGCTGAGCAGGGAGCCCGATGCGAGGCTCGATCCCAGGACCCCGGGATCATGATCTGAGCCGAAGTCAGATGCTTAACCAGCAGCCACCCAGGTCTCCCTTTTACAGATGATGTTTTAAACAGAAATATAAAGAGGCAAGGAATTTGAAAAATACTGAACAGAGGGGCACCTGGGTGGCTCAGTCAGTTAAGCATCTGACTCTTGATTTCAGCTCAGGTCGTGATCTCAGGGGCCTGGGATTGAGCCCCCTGTGGGGCTCCATCCTTAGCGTGGAGTCTGCTTGAAAGTATCTGTTCCTCTCCCTTTGCCCCTCTCCCACTTGCACTTTTTCTTTTTTCAAATAAACAAGGAAATAAAACCTTTAAAAAAATCTGTAAAAGGCGAAAGATTTATGCGTTTTGCGCCTGGGTGGCCCAGTCGTTAAGCGTCTGCCTTCGGCTCAGGTCATGGTCTCGGGGTCCTGGGATCGAGCCCCGCGTCGGGCTCCCTGCTCAGCGGGAAGCCTGCTTCTCCCTCTCCCACTCCCCCTGCTTGTGTTCCCTCTCTTGCTGTGTCTCTCTGTCAAATAAATAAATAAAATCTTTAAAAAAAAAATCTGTAAAAAATATCAGAACCAATCATTATCAGTGAGCTGAGGACATCATTTATTCTTACTGGGTGTTAGGTTCCTGAAAGGCAGGTGTGGTTTTGCTTGCGGCTGCGGCCGTCCAGCCCCGAGCTTTGTATAAAAGGTGAGTGCTCAGTTGGCTGTGCAGAACGGAGCTGAGCCAGATTGTACAGGTGAAGCCCCTGGTGGCAGCCTGAGGGCCCACCCCCGTCTCAGGGCCTGCTGTCAGCACTGCTCCTCTCTAAGGCATGGTTCCCGTGGCCAGGCTCTGCTCCGGGCTGGCCCAGGAGAGCCTTCCTGAGGGAGGTGGACTGAGAGGGACGGGAGGGTGTGAGCGAGAGGGAAGGAGCGGACCCTTTCTGCCTTCCTATTGTGTGCCAGATGCTGGGTTAAACTCTCCCTTGTCTTGGATTGTCCTGATGCTTCCGGGAGGCACGTTCATTATTATCTGCGCGTAGAGAGGCGGGAATTCGTTAGGTGTGGGTGGACATGGTTAGTGTATGGCGCACACACGTATGTCACGGTAAGCTCGGCAAGTGCTGTTTTGTGGGATGGTCCATCTTTTATTCTGGAAACAATGTTTTTCCTTTTTGGTGTCAGGAATGTTCTTTTATGCAATCGTAACATGTAGAAGGTAGCTTCTTTATGTACTTGTGCTTGGCAGTGTTAGGTCCCCTAAATCTTTAACACCTCGATTGAGTCATGACAGCCATCTGAGAGCCCTAGGCAGGGTGGGGGTCAGGAGTGGGGGGTTCTCCTGACCTGCCCTGGCAGGAGCCCCCTGGGTCCCAGAATCCTGTGTTTCCACGCAGGTGTTTGTCCCCATTCGGGGCTGTGTGCATGGGTTTTGGGATCCTTGGTCTGGGCCTCAACCACCCTGCTAACACTCCCCACCCGGTGTCAAACGGGATAAAGAACTAAAACACAGAGAAGAGCCCCTTCTGCCCTCCAAGGACCCTGCCTGCCTGTGCCCCTTCAGCGGTTCTTCCCTGGAGGCCCTCAGAGCCCTTGGTAGTTCTGCCCACAGCTCCACCTCATTTTCCTTCTGCTGGGGGTAGTGCCCGGCAGGTGGGCCTCTGGCCAATGGCAAGGGGGGGCAGGGCCCGCACTGAGTGAGAGCAGTGTGTGTCAAGGGCAGTGGGGCCCACGGGGCAGGCAGGCAGTGACCCTGGACCCTTGACCAGGGCATGGCTGCTTTGAAATCACCCAGACTGATTTTCCTCACAAGGGAGAATTATTCACCAAGAGATGTCTTTGACCCCAAACATGAAATGCCTCTTCTCTTGAGGATGATTCTGCTCTCCTGCCCCCGGGGGCTTTGGGAATGGGCAGATGGTCTCCAGAGAGCCTCTGGATGTGCCCCCAAGGAAGGGGGCAGAGATGTGCTGAGATGTTGCGGGAGAAGGTTATCTAATCCAGTCTCTGTTTGGACAGAACCTCCTGGGACTACAAGATATCCCGAGACAGTTTCTCCTGCAAGTGTATCAGACCTTCCGCAAGGTCGGAGAGACCAGGTACCTGCCTGCTGTGTGGTCCCGTTCTTCCTTCTGGAGCCCCTCTCCCAGGCCCCACCCCATTTCCCGCCCCCCCCCCCCAGGTGGCATGTATTCCAGTCCCCCTGGGGCCTGGCCGCCCAAACAGGGTCCCAGAGCAGCATCACAGGGGAGCGGGTTAGAAATGCAGACCCTCAGCCCTGCCCAGCCCTGCTGCATCGGTCAGGGTTCAGCAGCAGCCCCGGGGAGTCGGTGTGCACCCTGAAGTTTGAGAAGCTCTGCCCCGGGGCCTGAGAGCCGGTCAGCGTGCCGCTGCTCACAGCCTCCGTGGGTGGTAGGAGTGGGAGGGCCGCACGCGGAGGAAGAGTAGTGGTCTCTCTGAAGGCTTGTAGTTCAGTGAGGAGAACACAGGGTACGGGGGAGGCAGGTACAAACAACGTGCAGAGAGAGAGGATGAGAGCCTGACCGGCCCTCGTGGGGCCTCTTCACATGAAGGGCCTCTCCCAGAGGGCACACAGGAGATGCTTCTAGAGGAGTGCAGCTGGAAGCCAGGACCTCTCCTTGGCCGGAGGAACACTCTTGTTCCTGGGGGGAGGGGGTGGGGGACACCTACCACCGGCTGTCTTCTTCTCTGCTTCTGATCAGCTGTGAGGCTTCCCGGGGCCGAATCCATCCGAGCCAGGGGCTCCCTGGCCCAGGATGTGCAGCCTGGTGGCGGGGCGGGGGTTGGGGGGGGGAATTCCTCGTCATCACGGGGGCAGGGGAATTGGAGACTGACGGGTCAGAGAGCTTCACAGGCTGTGAGAAGTGAACCTTCTGGAACAGATGAGGCACCCATAGCCACAGAGCTACGTGGCTGTAAATGTGAGCTGTAGCCCTACCGCCGTTGTGATCTGGGCCTCGACTCCCAGGCCTGCGTAGTCGCTGGGTGGTGAATCGAGTCTTGAAGAACAGGGATGCATGTGTCTTGGGAAGAAGCGAGCAGAGCAGTTGAGAGAGAGGCTTTACGGCAGAAGGGGCAACGGAAGGGCAGGGGTGTCCGCCCCGGGCCAGCCTGGGTGTGACCGGTGTCTGTCCGCAGGGTGGGCGATGCCGTGCTGGGGCTCATGTGCATGGTGCTGCTGCTGGTGCTGAAGCTGATGCGGGACCACGTACCTCCTGTGCACCCCGAGATGCCCCCGGGCGTGCGGCTCAGCCACGGGCTGGTTTGGACTGCCACCACAGGTGAGTGGTGCTCTGGCCGAGGATGGGCCACAGCCATCCTGCACACCGGGGGTGCACCCCATGAGATTCTTCTGTCACTGGGCTGGGCGTGACCTGGGCACCGGATATTGAAACTTGCCAGCTGGCTCTGATGCACGGCCAGGGTGCAGAACAGCGTTTAGTAGCAGGAGTTCTCAAGCACAGGCGATTTTGACCCCCGGGGACATTTGGCAATGTCTGGAGTCGTTTCTGGTCGAGACTACTGGGTGGGGCCGTCATGGGCACCTGGTGGGGAGAGGCCAGGGAGTAGTGAACGCCTGCAGTGTACAGCCGATGGCAAAGGAGGATCTGGTCCAGAATGTCAACGGTGTGAGGCCGGGAAGCCCTGGCTGGTCCCCGAGGGAGAAAACACATGGATCACATGCTTCTGTTCAAGCCGCGCAGCTCTGAGCCTGGGTTTCCCATCACACAAATGGGTAGCGGGGCCCTGGGCCTTTCCTGCGCCCTGGAAGGTTGTAAACAGCTAAAATAGTTGTAGTCCTGATGACAACGTCCGTGAAAAGAGTGATGCAGCCTTTTGAGAGCTGGGTCGGTGATGGCGCTCATATTTTGGGAAGAGATAGTACCCCCATTTAAGAAGCCGGCACAGGGGCACCTGGGGGGCTCAGTCCGTTATGCATCTGACTCTTGGTTTTGGTTCAGGTCCTGATCAGGTGGGATCGAGCTGCGTGTTGGGTTCCACACTCAGTGGGGAGTCTACTTGGGAGTCTTTCTTCCTTTCCTGTCCCTCACCCCTGCTCGCTCTCTTTCTCTCAAATAAGTAAATAAAATATTTTTTCTTTTTAAGATTTTATTTGTCAGAGAGAGCATGAGCACAAGCAGGGGCAGAGGGAGGAGCAGGCTCCTTGCAGAGAGAGCAAGGAGCCTGACACGGGACTCGATCCCAGGACCCTGGGATCATGACCTGAGCTGAAGGCAGATGCTTAACAACTGAGCCACCCAGATGCCCCATAAATAAAATATTAAAAAAAAAAAAGAAGCCAGCACAGCTCAGGCAAGAGCCGAGAGGTGGGACCCGAGGTGACCAGTAGATGACGTGGGTAGGCCGTGTGTGTCACTGTGGGCCTGTCCCGCCATCTCGCATCACGTGCTCATGCCTGCCCCTCGGTCACCGGTGTGTGTGCTGTTTTCCAGGCTGCAGTGTGGGGGGTGGTGGCTGGGGGCGGGTGTCCTGCTTCCCTGGGTGTATTTACTACTCCAGTTACCCAGAGGAGCCAGATTTCACCAACGGGTCTCCCTTCTGTCCTAGCCCGCAACGCTCTGGTAGTCTCCTTTGCCACCCTGGTCGCATACTCCTTCGAGGTGACCGGATACCAGCCTTTCGTTCTAACGGGGCAGACCACCGAGGGGCTCCCTCCAGTCCGGATTCCGCCCTTCTCAGTGACCACGGCCAATGGGACAGTTTCCTTCACCGAGATGGTACAGGTGGGTGGAGACGGGGAGCCAGGCCTGCCGGGTGGGGCTGAGGTGGTCTCTGGGCCTGGTTCCGTGCCTCTGATGCATCCGCTTCATAACAAGGAGCTCCGAGCCCAGCTAGGACTTCTGAGTCCTCAGGACCGAGGGCCTCTGGGTGCAGGGACAGGCACAAAAGGGTTCTGGGCCCGACCTCAAAGGACACCACGTTTAGTTTTCTGCCCGAGCCCAGGGTGCTTCTCGCGCTGTGGACACTGGCAGAGCAGGGGTGTGTCCTGTGCTCTGCTCTGTGTCTGGCCCTGGGTGTGAGCTCCCGGCCCTGCAGCTGAAGCACACTCTGGTCAGACGCGGAAGAGCACAGGCCAGCCTTGGCGGGTCACTGCCTGGCCGGCCCCTCCTCGCCTTCCCTGGAGGCCTGCTTACTGTCCCTCTCTCCTCTCTCAGGACATGGGTGCTGGGCTGGCTGTGGTGCCCCTGGTGGGTCTCCTGGAGAGCATCGCGGTGGCCAAATCCTTCGGTAAGATGCCCGCCGTTGGGGCCTCCCGGTGGTGTCCCGGAGCTGGCCTTGCCTGTCTGCTCTCTTGCTTGCTTTTATCTGCTTAGGCTTTTAACAGCTTGAGTTTTCATCCAAGTAACGCATGCTTGTGTTTTTAACAAAAAAAGTGTAGTAAAAGTGGATTTATGACAAAAACCCACACCTAGCGGTGGCTGGTAACGTGTGCCAGCCTGCTGTCCGGAAGGAGAGGGCCCTGCGTTTCGCCTTCGCCTTTCCTCTGGCATAATCGTGCCCCCCACGGGCTCCCAGTGGCTCGTGAAGTTTGGTCGATCACATCTTGGGGTGAGCTGCTGCGGCCTCCACCCACTGGACACGTGCAGTTAAATTACTTTGTGGGTCGTAGTGAAACGTAGTAGGTCAGGAAGAGATAAGTTTTAAGTCTGTCTCTAGTTTTGATGTAATTTATGTTATTTAAAGCTTTCATGTAATAGGTAATAATGGCTGTGTCTAATGACAGGTTCCCAAAATTCGTAAAAATTTTAACAATGTGCTCTTTCCAGCTGGCTGAGCACCCCTGGCCTGTGCTCTCCCCACCCCCAGGGAGGCCAGGACGCAGTAATCTACTTTTAAGTGCCTATTTGTTCGCCCAGAACTCGGAGTCCTCTGTCAGAGCTGAGGCTGCTCCATGCCTCGAGTGTCCGCTCCCTTGGGTCCGCAGGGCGTCCGGCTTCGTGTTGTGCGCGTGGATGGCATTTTCCTTTCGTTCTACAATGGTTACACTCTTGTCGCACTGGGGTACAGGTCGATTCTAAAGATGAAACCCAATAAAGAGCGTGCACGTCGCCGTAACCACATAGACCGGATCTGGTTGTGGCAACATCCTGACCCCCCCCCCCAGTCCTGCCAAGGAGACTCGTGCCTGATGCGCATTCTGAGGGGTCATCCCTGCTAATCACCAGCAGCTGCTCCAGGTCCCTCCGCGCATTCCGATCAAGTCTTCCTCGTGTAGTTTCTGTTTTTCTGATGATCTTTTTCCAGGTGGGAAGTTTTGGGGGTATTTTGGAGTCTGTGTCTTACAGCGTTTATGCCTCTTGTGACTTTAAAACTGTTTTCTTCTGAAGTCACTTGATGTCCCGTCCTAACTCGTAAGCTTGTCATTCTCTGAAACCAGGGTTGGAGAACCACAGCCCGCGACCCAAGAGTAAGAGTGGCTTTTACGTTTTAAACATTTGAAAAAATTTCCAAAGATTAGGATTTTGTGACACACTAAAAGTGTGTGGAATTCGCATCACAGTGTTTATATAAGGAGGTGTTCCTGGAACACGGTCTTGCTCATGTGTTTTCGGGTCCCCACGGCCGCTTCCAGCTACGTACGACAGGCGCCAAGTCGTCGCGACAGACCGTGGCCCGCAGCGCCTGCAGTGTTCCCGGCCAGCCTTTCCCAGAAACGTTCACCCGCCCTGCGTCCCCCCTGCAAGCTTGCCGGCCCCTCTGTCTGCACGGCCCCGGCTGGGACCTCTGGGCCTCGACATTGTAGTCAGAGAGGGTTTAGTTTCAGACTTTCTCCCCTTCTCACGGAAGCAGTGTGTGTTTGTGGTAAGAAACGTCCAAAGCACTGAAACGTAGAAAGGAGCGAATCGCCTGCGACGGCCACCGCTACCACAGTCACCTACTGTTCACGTGTTGCTGTACGTCTGTCTGCTTTGTGTGACGCAGCGACACAGATGTGTATGCTTGCGTACGCACGCGTGTTTTATACATGTTCACGTGCCGTAGTTACGACAAGGAGACAGTGCTGTGGGTAGAGGTTTATAACCTGTGTTTTTGGTTTGTGAATATTTTCTTAGCGGTGTCGTATATCTAGTGACAGCGTTTTCATTGTCCTTTCTTTTAGCTTCTCAAAACAATTACCGCATCGATGCCAACCAGGAGCTGCTGGCCATCGGTAAGCCCCCCGCGGTGGCTCTCTCAGGTCGAGAGTGCTTCTCTGCGTCTCGCCTGAGCTGCACAGGTCATAGGGATGGTCACGGTGAGCTTCAGGGAGCAGAGGTGGCCCCGAGTTGGGCCCTTTGAAAGCCTTGTGTGGATTCATCCTTAAGCCTCCAGATGGTTCAGTGTAATCCCTAGGAGCAGGCTGCCGAGGTGTGGCGTCCGTGCTGACCGACGCTTGTTGAGCGCTGGCTGTGTACCCGACCCCGAGGTCCGCAGCCTTGTGCTGTGTCAAGGAACGCCCGGCATGTCCCACCTGGGGTCAGATTGCTGAGGAACGTGGCCGGGCAGGACCTGCTGGTTCGGCGGGACCTTGACCGCCCTGGCCCCCCACCCCGGGGCCTCCCTCCAGGCCGGCAGGTGGCTCTGTGAAGACTTGGGGAGGGCCCACTGTGGACGGGTCTGTGCCCGGCATCCCAGTTTTGTTTTGTCTGACCTCTCTGGTGATTCGTTCTGAGGACGTGACATGAATCTTAAATTCGGTTATCGTGACTGTTGTTAATTTTGCGGACACCAGGCCTTTCTGTCTTTCCCTCCTGCCCCTGGTGAGCTGGGCACGGGTCGGAGTGGGCAGAAGCCCCGGGTGCCTTCCCATTGGAGTCCACGGGAACCTCCCCCGTTACCACTTCACCTCGCAGCAGCTGTTTGGGCCCGAACCAGTGGCTTTCCCAATAGCAGAGGGCATGGGGCCCCAGGATGGGTCAGTGGAGGTTTGGGGGGGCTCCTCTCTGAGCCCGTGGTGGCAGGCGTCACCTGAGTGGCTGGTGAGGCGGAGTTAGCCGACACTCGCTCGCCCCCAGGCAGAGGAAGTCTGTAGACTGACCTTCCCTGCACTCAGTAGTAGCAGTTCCGGATAGGAGTCCTGGGAGCATCTCCTTCCCGTTTCCGCAAGTAGCGGAGGACTTCTCTGCTTCACGGCGGCGACGAGCAAGGAGCAGTCACGAAGCTGAGGTTATTAAGGTGGACATGTGGACCCCATGGGCTGCTGACCCGGGGTGTAAGAGAGGCCAGGCAGCTCTCCAGCAGGCACATAGCAAGAGGCCTCCATCGACCCTACAGAACACCACACGGGGAAGGATCCACACATCCCTGCTCCTCAAGCCCAGTAGGGCCCCTGACCTGAGTCTCGAGGGGCCATCATAAGGAGTCAGGGTGACCACGTGTGGTCCATGCATGGCCTTTGCCACGTCCACCGATGTCTGCTCTGCTCTCGTGGCATGTGCTGGGCTGTGGGACCTGAGAGGGCCTGGCTCTGAGCGGGCCCCACCCTGAGCTGTCTCAAGCTGGTCTTGGACCTGTGACCCCATTGTGGTGTTGGTGAAGGTGCCAGGGTGAGCCAGATGCTGGCAGGGTTCTGTCAGGTGTGGCTGGGTCAGTGTAACGGGGGTGGACACTTACTAGCCATGACCTCCTGCCCCAGCTGGTCATCTCACGGGAGGAGTGTGGGTCTGAAGGAACTCGTGGGGTACGGCGGGTGGGCAGCTGGCTGCCAGGCAGTCTTAAGTGTCCTTAGTCCCTCCTGGGGAGGTGGGTTCCTCTCCCAGTTGCACGTGGGAAAAGGTGTATTTGGCTCACCGGGGCAGGGCTGGGGCCAGAGTTATGTTACAGTGAGGGTCGGTAAACTTGGCAGAGATCATGGTTGGTTTTTCCTTCCCTGAGACAGACACATGGAGATAGACGTATGATCCTCCTGGGTGATTCCTCTGGCCTTCTATCTTCTGTTTCCTTTCTGGTCTCTGGCCTCCTTTCCCCTGTCACCCCCCATCTGTTTTAAACTCCTCTCCCTCCTGGATAAACCTTTTCCTTCCACTTTCTCCCCAGGCCTGACCAACGTGCTGGGCTCCCTCGTCTCTTCCTACCCGGTCACAGGCAGCTTTGGACGGTGAGTGACCCATGTCCTTCCTTCCCTGTGCCTTGGGGGGCAGGGGGGAGTCCCAGCCCAGGCGAGACGGTCCGCGTCCGCCTCAGAGAGCCTGCCCGGTTCTTGCCCACGTCTCAATGCCACTTTGTTCTTCTGTGAGGCAGAAGCCTGCCCGTGCCAGCAGCCGCATCCCTAGATCAGTGGCGTCCGTGGGAGGCAGGAGTGGGGCTCGCTCTGCTGTCCTTCACCATGATCTCACGTGGTTTTCTCTGATAGCCCCGAGCTTTACTCCTAAAACGTTGCCAGCATGTGGCAGTGCTCCTGCATCTCGTGTCAGAGTGCATTCCTAAAGGAAGTGGGGGCAGGAACCACCGCACTCTGCCTGGAGAAGCGGGGGGTGGGTCACGCATGGCCTCCACGTGCAGCCTCGTAAGGCAGCGGGGCAGGACAGAGGGTAACCTGGGGCTGAGAAGAGGCAAGGGGGCATCAGCCCGCAGGGCCCAAGTCCCCAGAACTGCTGGCCCCACCCCGTCTGGGTACCAGACCTCCCCGACACCCCCACAGCACGGCATCCAAGGGGCTACAGGGCATACTCAGTGTCCCCCCTGTAAACAGGAGTCACAGCAGGGCCCTTGTCGGAGTTATTGGAGGTTACACAGAGAGCGCGTACAGCAGTGCCAGGGGCCGCTTCGTGGAATAAAAGCTCTGTTTCCTTGATGTAACTTTTCACCCGTTTCTACTGCATAATCAGTGCGTCAGGCTCACAGGGTCTGTGCCCCAGGTCCGGCATGGCACCTCGTGTGTAACGGTTACTGGAAACATCAGTGCGTCTTTAAGGAAGGAGATTCCTGCCTAACTCCACAGCAGCGAAGGGTGACTTAGGCTTTCTGTGGACACGTATAGACGGACGGACGTATTTGCAGAGAACGTGCCAGTGGGCACGGGTCACGGTCAGGGTGATGGGGCGTGCATGCGAGGCAGAATCCTCACTGTTGCAGAAATCAGGTGCCCGTTCCTTTGTGGTCTTCACGGTGGCAGAGGGAAACGTGGGCCCAGGACCAGTTCTTTGGCAGAGATACAGGTCTGAATGCAGTTTTCCAAACAGACAAAACGAAAAAGGGAAGTTGAAAAGGAGGGACAGCCAAGTTCGCTTCCAGGTTTGCCCTGGCAGGCGCTTGCTGTCAGCGTCTGGTGTTTCTCTGCGTTGACGAGCGTGTGCGTGTGTGTGTGTGTGCGTCTGCATGTGGGAGATGCCAGGGTCGTAAGTGGGATGTCGCCCCACTCAAAGGTGTCACCACATCTCCCTGGCCGTGAACACAAGGGTCATCCTTTCTAACGGCAGCGGGGAGTGGACGCATTTGCTTCAGCTGCCGTGACACGGGCTGGGGACATTTATTTCCTCCCCCGCTGGAGGCTGGAAGTCTGCGTCTCCCCCTTACGTGCCAGTGTCCGCGGGGCCCCCATGTCCCCTCGCAGGCGCTCCTGTCCCCGGAGAGCCGCCTCCCCTGCTCTTCCAGGCTCCCACAGCCACTAACAGCGTCTGTCGCCTTGCAGGACAGCTGTGAACGCCCAGTCGGGGGTGTGCACCCCAGCGGGGGGCCTGGTGACAGGTGAGCACCCCCCATTGTGCCCGGAGCACGTGTGGGGGCGGGGCCGGAGGTCACGGGCGCCCCGTTTCCCCGCAGGAGTTCTGGTGCTGCTGTCGCTGGACTACCTGACCTCGCTGTTCTACTACATCCCCAAGGCGGCGCTGGCTGCTGTCATCATCACGGCCGTGGCTCCGCTGTTCGACACCAGGATCTTCGGGACGCTCTGGCGCGTGAAGAGTACGTGCGTCCTCGCCTGTCTCTCTCTCTCTCTCTCTCTCTCTCTCTCACACACGTGCGCACGTCCTGGGACCTGCCCTGGGCCCATGTTTCCCTCTGCCACCGTGAAGACCCCACCGCCTTCCGGGACCCAGGTGGTAGGGTTGGAGCTGGGCGTTATCTTTGTTCTGGGAGGTGGTCCCGGGTCAGGGCTTCCTTCAACTCCTCTGGCTGCGAGGAGCACCCAGGCCGGTTCCGTGCAGTGCTGAGCGAGTCTGTAGCTCACAGGGTGCCCCGCTGCTTGTCCTCCTCCCCTCCCCCCTCCTCTCCACCCCCTTCCCCTCCCCCTCCTCCCCCCCCCCCCTCCCTCCTCCTCTCCACCCCCTTCCCCTTCCCCTCCTCCCCTCCCTCCTCCTGCACCCTTACCCCCCTCTTTTCCTCTCCTCCTCCCCCTCCTCCCCTACATTCCTCCCCATCTTTCTCTCTCCCTCCTCCTCCCCTCCACTCCTCCCGTTCTCCTCCTGCACTCCTCCTCACCTTCCTCTTCTCTCCTCTACTTCTCTCCCTGCTCCTCTCCACCTCCCCTCCCCTCCCCTCTCCACCTCCCCCTTTGCCTCCTGCCCTTCTCCCCCTCTCCCTGCATTGCTCTTCTCCTCTCCTCTCCTCCTCTGCCCCTCCCCCTCATCTCTCTTCTTCCCTTTCCCAGTCCCAAGCCCAGCCCATGCATGCGAGGCAGAATCCTCACTGTTGCAGAAATCAGGTGCCCGTTCCTTTGTGGTCTTCACGGTGGCAGAGGGAAACGTGGGCCCAGGACCAG